GTAGGCAGACACACCACTTCGCTGCAAGTTGAGCTTCACAGCAGTGTATGTGGCCTAGGTTAGGTGATGCATGGAGCTAGCAAATAAGGAGGGGTGCCACACATTCTGATGTGATCTGAAGGTCCCCGATGTTCTGGATTCTGTAAGGTTGTAGAAAGACCATTCAGCAGTTAACATCTTAATTATTTGTTTGGTTTTTTGTTTTTTTTTTTTTGGTACTGGGGATCGAACTCGGGTCCTTGTGCTTGCGCAGCAGGCGGCGAAAACACTGAGCTAAATCCCCAGCCCTACATCTTAATTATTTAGGTGCGGCTTCTCTTTAGAATTTAGAATGCTGGCAAGGGGAGGTGACTAACCTTGCAGAGGGAGGATCATAACTTTGAGAAAGAAGGGTAACTCACAGAAGAGCAGCCACTGTGACCACCTGGCCTGGTTGGCCACTATCCTGGGCCTGCAGGCGAGGCTGGGGCTTGAGCCAGGCTGGCTTTCTGGGCTGAGCAGTGGCCTGTGGTCCCTCATATGCTGGACTAAGTTTCCTCGGTCCCTGGGGGCTGGGCTGAGTGGCTAAGACTGGACCTCGGGGTGTGGCTCTGTGGCTGGCCCCCTGGGTTTCTGACCCTGTAGCAGGGGAACAACTGCCCAGACCCACCTGCCTGGATGGTGACAAATGTGTGGCGTAGATCCCAGGGGCTGGATGGGGCAGCTGAGTCATGCTTGGCCCCATTTCCCTGCCTGTGCTGTCACTGTCTGGGCATGTGCCAGACAGCTCAGGGTGCTCATAACCAAACCCGCACCCTGGAACCTCCTCTTCACTGGCTGCCAAGGCTCTCCTTCACTGAAGTGCTGCCGGCCCTCTATGATTTGAATATTTACATTTTCACAGCCGAGGAAGCGGGTCCCAAGCAGCCAGTGGCAGCAGGAACTCGATCGAGCCTTGCTCTGCTGCTTCTAAGCCTGAGCTTATTCCTGTGGTACCACACATGGCTTCTCCCATTGGAGGTAGTGAGCTCCCCATCCCTGAAGGTGTTCAAGTTTTTCAGGGAAGCTGTAGAGGGGAGGTGAGGATCCTTCACAGCTCCTTCCAGTCCTGAGCTTTCCTGGCCCTGCAGCACATCCTGCCCAGCTGTTGTGTAGATGATGCCTCCATCAGGAATCCCTGTCTGTAGGCTTGCTGCTCACCGTCTCCAAGTTCTCCCCATTCGCGCCATCCGCCTGGCACAGATGGCGGGCTCTGGTACCCAGCCGTCCCCTGCCTGGAGGTGGGGAAGCTAGGCCTGGACACCACCTGTCACCAGCTGTGGAGACCCTGCAGGGGGCATCAGGCCAAACGGGTGGCCCATCTCTTTCCCCCCACCTGGGAGTGGGGAACCAGAGTCAGCAGCTGAAGCAACTGTGACTCGGAAGCCAGTAGTGTTCACAGCCCATGTGAGTAGGGCAGGGTGATCCTGGGTTGCAAGCCCTTGGGGTCATGGCTCAGCCTCTCTGGGCCTCCACAGCCACCTCCACAGAGTGGCTGGTGCTGCTGCCTCTCTGTGTCACAGGGCTGGGGGCACATGGGACAGTGGTGTGTGCAGGCTGGATTTGGGTACTAGATCTGTGTCCCTGGATGTACAGCTTCTCGTCTCTGAGCCTCAGTTTCCCCAGCTGTAAAATGGTAGGAGGATCACTCCTCACAGTGGGGTTGTGGTGGCAGGTGCACACCATGCCACTCATGCTGGTACATGGTCCCTGCCCGGCCCTAGCTCCCTCCTGGGTCTCTGGAGGATGGTCCCCAGGACGTGCCCACCCCAGGTCCCTGGACCCTAGGATCCCCGGCCACAGACACCTATCACTTCCCCTCCTGCTCTACCTTGGATGGCCCACAGCGAGCCCACGGGAAGCCTGGTGCTTGGAGCAGGCGGGAGGGATCCACCCTCTCCAGCTAGGCTCCCTTAGCCCTGGACCACAGGCGCAGGGGCACCGGGTAGTAACCTTGCCTTTATATAGAGAGGAAACCCAAGATTTGCTGCTGATGGGATCTTAGCAGCTCAAAGTGTGCCTGTGGTCCCCATGGAGTAAGAAGAGCCTGAGCTCTCGGGGTTCAGCACTGAAAGACTTCTCAGAGCCTTCACCAGGCATCTGTGTGCTGGAGAAGTTTCAGATCCCCGCCTGGCTCCCATCTCGGGAGCCCCTCTCTGGCCATGCACCTGGCACAGGTGTGTGTGCCCCTGGCACAGAGTCTGGGGAAGGGGGACACCTCAGGGCCCCTTGTCCATGCTGCCCCAAGTGGCACTTTAGCTTGGATCCAGAGTATGAGGAGCTGGCTCCTCTTGGGAAGATGCTGAGTGTCTCCCTGACCTAACTTAGAGCCCTGGTGCTTTCTCATTCATTTGTTAACTTAACTAGCAGTCATAAGGCAGCACTGTGGACTGGGCAACATGCTGGGACCCGAGGCTGAAGTGAGAGGAAAATAGAAAAGACAGTGAGCTCTGAGAAAGGAAGCAAGTCATACCTAACACTTCACACAGGTGTTGGTACCCTGAGGATAGTGAAGCGTGTGACAGAGAAGACCATGATGAAAACAGGAGACAGTTTTGATTGGGCAGTCATGGAAGGGATGTCAGGGGTGTGCACATTTGAGTTAAAACCTGAGAAGAGGCCAGTGGGGGAAGGATGCTGGGAAGAATGTGCTGTGTTTTGGGGGGAAAGCATGTGCAAAGGCCCTGAGGTGTTCTGGACAGAGGAGTCTAGGGCAGCTGAACTTGGTGAATGCAAGGTAGTGAGGGGAAGCAGGAGGTGTGACACAGGTGTGGTCACTACCTAGTGACTGTGGTAGCCACACTTCCTGAGCCTCAGTGTCTGACATAAAAGGAACTTCACCATCTCTGTGCCTGCCTCCACTCTGATCAGCAGCATCATTGGAGCTGAGTGAGGACATGCATCGTGGGTCTCTGGCTTCAGGCTCTGGGCTGCAATGAGCCATCCCAGGAATTTTCCTCATTGGAAGGGAGCAGGTGTTTAGGGGCTGCTGGTGGGACGAGAAATGCCAGTGCCTGTTTTTCCGGGTGTCGCTGCAGATAGTAAGCACCAAGTGTGTGCAAGGCCGGGGTGCTCTCCCCCTGGACGCCCAGTACCGCAGCTCCCTGCCAGCTCCTTTGAGGCACAGGGTCCTTTGATCACACCACGGCTGCCTTCTCGGTCCAGCAGGCCTGGAACTCTTTCCGGCGGGTGAAGGTCCCCCAGAGGACAGCAGCTCCTTTCTTTGCTTTCTTTTCCTCTTCCTCCAGGCCTAAAATAGTGCCTGAATGGGCCCGGCTCTGGCGGCAGCGAGACAATAGCTACCTCCTGGCCCTGGGCCACAGCGGTTGCGGGGGAGGTGCGGAGGCTGCAGTGTCCAGGGCCCTGCTGGCCCCCACCAGGGGATGTGATCGCCTCTGGGGTCCCCAGCGGGCTCTGGGAAAGTGCTTGCAGCACCTGGCTGAGACCCCAGTCCCCTGGCCTGCTGCCGGTCTGGAGCTGGAGGCCTTGGCCCCCAGTATGGTTCTTTCTGTGCTGTCCGGCACACAGAGGCCACCATGTAGTGTGGGGGGATCTTTTCCCTCTGAATTATGGATATGAGGGACTCCTAGAGGTAAAAAAAATGCATCTTCTTGCAAGGGAGGCAGTGAACTCCCTGTCCCTGGAGGTGATCAAATAAAGTTTGTGTGTGTGCTGGAGGTTGGGGGAGGGGATAATCAAGCATCAGATGGCTGTCAGGGCTGGAGATCTTCACGTCTCAGAGGAGATCTTGGTTCGAATTCCATGTCCCTTGCCTGCCAGTGAGGTGGCATTTGATGAATCACTTCCCCTCCCAAGCCTCGGTTTCCCCATCTGTAAGATGAGCTCAACAGCCTCACCTTGCAGAGTGGTGGGCCCAGACCTCCAAAATGCCCAGGGAGGGCTGGTGCACAGTGAAGCTTTCAGAAACCTTGCCTCAGTTCTCCCCTCTCAGACTCACATCCACTCTTGACTCCCAGGGAGCTCTAGAAGAAAGCCAGGAGGAGCTCCCAGGCCAGGCGAATTCAGGGGGAGAGTCTTGGTGAGCTATGCAATCTAGGAGGGCTTCCTGGAGGAGGTGGAAGTTTTCAGGGTAGTTTGGTGCACATTCTGGGCTCACAACAACCAGAATCAGGGGTTAGAGGATGTCCACCCTGGTTTAAGGCCAGGGCCACAGGTCGGCAAACTCTAGGGGTCAACTCCAGCTTCTTCTGGGCTCAATTTGGTCATAAGGGTGTCCCCTACCAGGTTCTAAAAAATGTGGTTTAAAGCCATTGTTGACAAACTTGAAGATTTCACTAAAAATCTGAGGTTCTGTTTCTCTTGAGAACTGGGAAGCCCTGGCTCTTAGTGGTCCCCCAGTGCTTGGGTACAGAACTAGTCGGGAGCCCGTGCTGCTCTGCTGGGTCGAAGCTGGCAGTGACGTGGTCCCTGCAGCTGCCAACAGTTGCCAGGGTAACGGTTGCCAGGGGCTGCTGTCACCTGCGCCCCTTCTCTCCGGCTGGCGCTAGACGCTGGGGCTTCTGCGCCTATCTTCTGGCTGCCCTCTTTGTTTGAGGCTCTGGGTAACAGCACGGCTGGGGTGGCCCTGCTTCCCCTCCCCCTTCCCCACCCCTTGGGGAAACGGGGCTGCTGCAAACAAGAAGACCCCGCTAATCATTCCTACTCCTGGAGAGTGCAGCCCACCCTCTGCCTGGAGGAGGAATCCAGGTACAATTCTCCCTCCCCAGACTCTCCTCCTGGTTCCCGCCTTCTTTCTGTCTCCCGCCCTCTTCCTTGGTCCCTTCTCCTCCTTCTTTATTCTCTCCCTCCTCCTCTCCCTTCACCCGCTTCTCCCAACACTGACAGTGTAGCTCATGGAAGAAGCAGGGGTGAAGCTGGGGTGGCGCAGGGGACCCTCGGGGAGCCATAGATGGTTCTGCAAGGGGACTTGATCAATTGAACAGCAGCCTGGAGAACTAGTAGAAGGAAGTGGTTGGGGGTGAGGCTTTACACCCTCCCCTCCCTCCTACAAAGCCCTGGCTACAAAGATCCTCTTTGGCTCCTGGTCTGCAAAGATAACCCTCTGAGAGGCAGTGGGAGGAGGGCTGCCAGGGCCACTGAGGGGCCTGGATCAGGTGGGAGGCGCTGTGTGGGGCAGGGCTCCAGCGCCCCTTGATCTGGGCTTTTGTGGGGACAGTGCCCGGCGTAACCCATGGGAACACCTTTATACTGTGGCTCTTGATGCGAAGCCCTTCCTGACAGGAACAGGTGAGTTCCATCCGAGGGAACGGCCTCCCATCCAGAGTTCGGTGTCCTCCGGAGCAGCCCTGGGTCCCGGCCAGCCTTCCTGGCTCACTGACTGTGTGACCCTGGCCCTAACCCGGCCCCTGGGGCCTCATTGTCATTCATTCAATGTGCATAATAGTGTCTCCTAGGTTTTTAAGAGGATTAAATGTGTTAATGTGTATAAAAAGCTGTGTGTCCCGAGTTCTCAGAGCACAGGGGCTGTGTTCTGCAAGTGGTAAGCTCCCCGTCCATCCGGGGCTGCAAGTGGCGGCTGTGGGCCCCTTTGTGCCGGGGCCTGAATGCTGTGTTGTGTGCTCAGTGAGCTGTCTCCACTTCCCCTCCCTGGAGGGGGCCTCGGGCATGGGGGGCCCTGGCCCCAGGCTTATTTGGGAGGGTGGGTGGCTCCCGGCTTTGTGTCCTGCCTGTCCCTGAGCCAAGGATCTGGGACGTGGAGGAGGAGAGAAAGGGAGGGAAGGTGGCGGCCTTGGGAACCCGGAGGATCCTGCCCTCCCAAGATGGGCACTCTGCCCGCCTGGGGGAGCCGGGCCCCAGCCTTGAGGAAGGGGAACTTCAGCTAGACGGTGGGGTCTGGCTGTGGTTTGAAGGGAAAAAGTCTGGCCAGAGCGGAGGAGCCAGCCCGCTTAGCACCCTCTTTGCCTCTGGCCCTTCCCTCGCCTGTGTGCACCTCCAAGCCTTCTCAGTTGCCTTGTGGCCCTGGAGGACCCCTGGCTACAGAGAAGGCAGGCTGGGGACAGGGATCATAGTTGCCCAATTGACCAAGGAGGACCCCGGTGGACACGGAGCTAGTCTGGACCTTGTGTCCACAACTCGTGGCCCCTGGCTCTGGGAGGTGCATTCCCTGGCAGGGGCTGGCTGTGTGTGCCTGGTGTCCAGGAGGACAGCTGCTCCTTGGACGGTGCCAGGTCTTGGAGATTTGGACACAGCCCTGCCTGGCTCTGCACTGCCCAGGAGCACACGGCCGACCAGGCTGGCGCCAGTCTTTGCATGGCTAGAGAAAACCCTGTGCCCAAGCCCTGCTCAGATGAGACTCACTCTATTCTGGGGCACCAAGTCTGGGCCCCTGGGCTGGGTGTTCTCATCCCCTCTCCTTTCTTGGGTCCCAAAGTCTCTTTGACCAATTCTGAAATTCCTAGTGGCTTTGATCCTCAGCAACTCAAAGCTCTTGTGCCCTCATTTTCTCTCTTCCCCACACCCTAACATTCTGAGTGTCTTGGCTGCTTGAGGCGCGACCACAGGCCCAGCTGGCCGTGGCTGGTGTTAATGGAATGGCCCTTTTGGGGACAGGCCTGGCACTGCCCCTTCCTGGTGAGCTGGTGCTGCAGTGGAGCGAGGTGGGATGGGCCTGAGCCTGGCCCAAGCTCACTGGGGACCTCTCGCCTGGAAGTGTCAGAGATGTGATGAGTGGCCCCAGGGACCACTGTAGCCTAACTGGCTCTTGCAGCCCATCTCCTGCTGGCTAATGGCCTTGGGGACAGCTCAGAGGGGAGGGAAGGAGTGCTGGCAGGCTGCTTTCCAGTGGCATCAAGATTCCTGAGAGCGATAACAGGTGTCCATGCTGAAAAAGCCCCACCATCACCTTGGGCTGGGAAGCTGGGCTTAGCCAAGCTTTGTGCAGAGCCTTCCTGCAGGACTTATCAGAGGCTTTGCTGGGCAGAAGCACAAAAGAATGCAGGGCCCAAAGCATTTCTCTAACTGGAGGACTAGTGCTCCCTCAGAGTGCTTTGGCAAGTTACCTTATGATAAAGATAGGGAGATGGAGTCCCAGGGAAGGAAAGGACTCAGTGGATCACAATGGCTGAACACATGGGCTTCAAGGTTAGACGGGCTTGGGTTGAGTCATGACTTAGCTATGTACTTACTATGTGGTCTTGGCCATGATCTCGCCTCTCTGGGCTTCTCATCTTTGAAATGGCATCATTTCACAGTTACTGTGAGGACCACATGGCTCACAGTACCTTCTTCCTTGGCTTGTTGTGAGGCTCTGGTGTGGGGAATGGCCTGCCTGGTGCAACACTGATTCTGCGCTTGCTAAAGGGGAGCAGGGACCCCTCCACTCTGGATCCCCAGGGGAACCCGTTCAGATCCACACCATCCATGTCCTGCTGGCTGTCCCGGGCCCGGGGAGATGTGGAGGCCCCAGGTGCACCGCACTGGGATCCTCACGGATGTGTCACAGGTCGGCACTGCAGGGGAGAGGACTTCGGAGTGCACAGGGCTTGGAGGAGGGAGGACCCGAGGCCGCACCTCTCACTGGTGTCTCTGAGGCGTCCGAGCACACATCAGGGTCCAGGTACAGGAGGCCACAGGGTGGCTGGCCCCAGAGGACTCGCTCTCGGGAAGGACTCGGGTCCACAGGCCCTTTCCTGTCCTCTTCCTTGGCTCTGATCTGGGACTGCAGTGCCAAGCGCCAGGACACCTGGGTGTGCAGAGGGAGGCTAGGCCCCGGCCAGCGGGGGCCTGCAGCCGGGCTGTGGAAGAATGGGAGACTGCCTTGGCAGGGGGCAGGCAAGGCCTGGCAGCTGCCAGCTTCTGGTTGCAGGCTTTAGCTTGATTTTTATTACCCTTTAGTACAGAAAAATTCCTGAAACCTGAAGTCATTGGGCTGCCCCGGGGGCTGAAGCAGCCTTCTGGGTGAGAGGTGGGGCTTCTGGGGCATCAGGCACCCACTGTAGAGAGGGACAGAGGGAGCAGAGGGGTTCACATTTGCAGGCTGTGCTCCCAGAGTGATATGCACAGCCGAGGGACTGGGGTTGGGCCAGGTGAAGGTGTGGCCCCAGTCTGGTCTCACCTGTCCTGGCTAGGCATGCACGCGCGCGCACACACACACACACACACACACACGCACTGTGCGTGCACTCCCCCTGCACTCCGCAGGTGTTGCCCCCTCCCCAGCCACATCCTCCCTTCCCAAGCCCCTGCTGGGGCTCCAGGTGGGTGGTGGGCAGCTCTGTGTTGGAGGGCAGCTGAGGCCGGCTGTGCAGCTGGAAGCAGAGCTGGGGCCCCTTCTATGGCTCCCTTCACTCCATGAGGGCTGTTGGCAGGGGGCCTAGGTGGGCAAGACGAGGCTTGTACGGAGACGGGCTCCAGGGCTCCCTCCTTCCCTGTTTGGCTCCCGGCCCCCACCCACCCTGCTTCTCTCCCCATCCTTCCTGCACCATTACCCTGCTAAATGCTGGGCAAACCACGGAGGAGTGTGGTGCGTCTCTGTCGAAGGTAGGGAACAGGCACCTTCCTGGCTCCTGGTCTTGGCCCTGCCCTTTGGCCACCGAGTGTCGTGGAGCAAGTCCTCTCCCCTCTCTGACTTTCTCTAAAACAGGGCTCCTGGTGTTTCTCCGGGCTGCAAGCGTGGTCCCCAAGCCTGTGCTGTGTTAATCAATGTGACACTTGCGAGAGCCAGAACTCCGAGGCCTGGTGTGCCGGGGCTGCAAATCGGCATTGTTGCACAGCCCCTGGGATGTTCTGGGCACCTCTCGGGGCACACCCGTGGCAGTGAGGGCATGTGGTGTTGGCGTGGCTGTGACACGGCTTGGCAGAAGCCGGCTGGCTTCTGATGCGGAATGGGCAGTGGGGTGGAGCTTCTCCGAGTTTGTGTCTCATCTCAAAGCCGAGCTGGAGAGAAGGGATTCCTGGCAAGGGAACAAGGGTCTAGGGGTGACCTGCGTCCTTTCAGGGCTGACCTGGATCACAGTGCACAGGGGAAGGAAGGCCCCGCAGAGACATCGGCCCCGGGAAGGGTTAACCCAGCGTGCAAGTCCGGGCTGCTCAACTTCCACCTCTGTCCTCTGAGGAAATGAGTTTTCCAGGAGCTCGGGCTGAACCAGCGGTGACTGGTAGCTCCACACAGGATGGCAGAGGAAGTGACTCAGGCCCCAGGGGAGAAAGTGAGACCCGAGTCCCCTGTCATCCATGCAAAGGGGAGGGCTGAGGAGGACCCCTTCTACTGGGCAGCTGGCCTCCGTGGCTATGGGATGTCTCTGCTCAGGAGGGTCCTGGCTGTCCTCGGCCCTGCTGGACCCTTGGGGACCCCGGGATGGAGGACCCCATTGTGTCAGGCTGGATCAGCTTGTTCTGTTCTCTGTGTGTTTACGGAAGGCCTGAGGTCAAGGTCAGCTGCTTGGGAAGGGAAACTTGCGGGGAGGGCTCAGCCTGCACCCTCCCTTCCAGACTGGAATTGGTTGTGCTGCCTGTGGTCTTTACTGCCCCTCACTTTTCTCCACTCTTCTTCGGGTGGACCCCGAAGCCTAGGGTGGGGGGAGTCATCTCTGAGACCTTCACCAACACCACCAGCCTGGCAGTGAGGAGGGCTCAGCCCCAGCCCCAGGTGACCTGGGAACAGGGAGCCCCTCCCTGGCCTCAGTTTGGGGAGATCTTTGAAAGGGAGAACTTGTGGGACCTGCCTGTTGTGGCGATCCTGAAGATTTCATGTGATGCTGTGGATGTTGCTGCTGCTGTAATCATCTGGGTGATGCTGCTGACCCCAGCCCTCTGAGACTCCCCTGGCTCCAGCCAGCGCTGTGGGAGGTGACAAGGGCCTTGCTGTCACCTGACACTTAGTCCTAAGATTCTTGACGGCCAAGGCCAGCCAGTGCTGCCTTCCTCATGGAGGCCAGAGACAGGTCCCTGGGCCCATGTGTTCTGGGTTCAGTCTCTAGACCATGGGCCCCTCCTTCCTGGCTAGGCTAGGTGATAGACACAGGGCTGACCCGGTCCCCCTGGAAGCCCTGCTCTAGGTACAGGGGGCTCAGCTCCATCACGGGCTGATGTGGACAGGATGGTGCTCTCCTCTGCCTGGTCTGGGTCTGGCATCCTCTCCTGGTCCCTAGCCCAGCTGTTTTGTCCCCCAGGGGTTCTGCAGACATTCAAGCCTGTTAGTGGAGAGGGAAGTTTTTAGGTGGGGTTTCAGCCCCCCTCTGCTCACCGGAAAGGAGGCTTCATGCTCCAGGAATTTCCCCTTGAGGCCTTGGAGGCTGAGTGGGGCCACCTGGGAGGCTGGCGCTGTGGAAGGGGAGGAGATGGAAGTGGGGCACGTAACAGGCCGGGGCTGTCAAAAAGTACACAGAGCTGGTAGCTCCCCCCAGTGGATATCAATTAATTTAACTCCCATGATTGAATTTCATCTTTGAAGTTGAGCAAAATGAGGCCCAGAGATGGTGAATTACTAGCCCAAGGACATACAGCTAGTAAGTGTGGGAGTCAGGATTTGAACACAGACAGCCTGACTCCAGAGTCCACCTCATTAATGGGATCCAGGCAGCCCTTCCTCACTGAATCCTGGGAGTGCTGATGGGGACAGCATTGTCCTCTTCACAGTGGCTGCTCAAGTAGCTCAGGTGGAAGAGTGAGCCAGGAAGTGTCAGGGCAGTGAGTCCCTTGTTGGAGTCTGAATCCCTTCCGGGGCATCCCGTGGGGTTGCAGTCTTGCTTGTGCCCCTCCAGTGGTGGGGAGCTTATTCTTGCCCAATCCTGGAGGGGCTGCTGCACAGCGGGCAGTTCTGCCCTGTCCGGGGGCCTTGTTGACCATCATGGTGGCTCAGTTTGAAGGTCATTGGCCAGAGGGACACACGAGTTCCAGCCAGCTCCACCCTTGCTTGTTGTGTGAGCCCAGGAAGCCACTGGCCCTTTCTGAGCCTCAGATTCCAACATCCCAAAATGAAGAGTGTGAACCAAATCCTCAATGGAGTTTGGGAGCTTCTGGTTCACAAGTGAAAAGCACGGGGCCTGCCTGGAAGAAGGGATATTTACCAAGGGAGAGGGGTCAGCAACAGGGGCTGGGAGAAAGGAGAACGAAAGGAGGCTCTCGGGGGTACCTCTGTCCCCGGATGCTGGGTTCCTTCTTCGGGGCTAAGGCAGTTTGAAAAGGAACCCAGTGCTGAGAGAGGACTCAGAGTGAAACCGTGGAATCACAACCCCAGGAAAGGAGCCCTTCCCCACAAAGCTCTCGTGTCCTCTGCAAGCCCCAGGATGCTCCAGGCAAGACAGGCAAGACAGGGAGACCACAGGACCTGAGAAATTGGGGTTCCATTCCTCCATTGGGACCTAGGGGACTGGCTTTTGTCAGAGGCTAGATTGGCTTGAGGGAGGCCTGGTCCAGGAAAGAGATAACAACATCCTGCTTGGGCCACTGCTGCCTTTAACAGCACTCTCTAATATTCAGTCCTCCTGTGTTCTTCCAGGAAGTCCTCCTTGATTTCTTCCACACCTCTTGTGTGCCCAAGCTGCCAGGTTTCCTTTCTTTTGGTTTGTGGCAGCTGATTGCATCTGTTACTGCTGTCAGATGAGCTCTCCACAAGATGAGGATGACTGGCTGGGTCTATCAGCACCCAGCTTGGTCACCAGACCAGCTGGTGGTAGGGAGGGTGAATCCACCTGGTATCCCTGTGGGCACCAACCACTGCGGTCCTGCACAGGTGGGGAAAGTCCCTGGCCTGTGTGGCATTCTTGGGCAGGGCATTTAACCCCTTGCACCTCAGGTTCCTCATCTGTGCAATGGACCCTCTGTGGTGCCCACCTCCCATGCTGAAGTGAGAGTTTATGCAGGTGGTGGTGGGGTTATGCAGCAGCACGGAGGCTGCTGGGTGCTCAAGTTATAGCGATCATGGGCAGTCAGGGGGGCATCGGGGTAGCTGGGGCTCCTTCCCTGCTCTGGGCCATGCCAGGTCACATTCTAATTTAGAATCTCCACCTCTGCTCTGCCCCGGCCCTGGCGCCGGCTCCTCCTGGTGGTCAGGATGGGAAGCGCCCTTCCCCTCTGGCCCCTGTACAGGGCACCGTGGCTGCACTGAGTCCACATTGCTGTCCCTGAGGCCCAGCTCTCAGGTAAGGCCATGGTCTCTTCCAGGTGGTGACTTCTTGGGCTGGCTTCTGGGCGAGACAATGGCTGTCCAAGTGCCCCTGCATACGGCACTGTCCCTGCTGAGTCTGCTCTTCCTGGCTCAAGGTAGGCTGTCCAGGGTCCCTGGGACAGTTGCTGGAACTCATGTTCACCGCCCTGTGCCTAGGGCAGCTGGCCGCCTGTGCACAAACCCCTTGGACAGGCATGGGTTTGGCGCACAGTTTAGCTGTTCAGTAGCACCTTGGAGAAAGAAAAAGGCTCCTCTTCCTCTGGCAGACGCCACCCCACAGAGCACAGCGCAGAGTGGAAACATGGATTGGATCTCAGCCCCTCTCAGTCAGCATTTTTGAGCAGTGCACAGATCACGCAGCAGTCTATGGCACTCATTAAACACTTTACTGCTATTACATTCTTTTGGCCTTTGAAGTTATTATTTATTTTCAGTGTTCTCTTTTGTACTCTGAAGCCAGTAAGTTTTGAGCAAGGCAGACTCGAATTTTTGCAGAGCCTTTGATGTATAGGCCTTTAGATTGCATGCAGGCCCAGTTCTGCACCGGTCTTATCCCCTCCCAAGCTGGTGCCTGCCTTGGGATCCCATCTGCAGCCCCTGCCTCCCCAGGTGCCCATGGTTGTGGCTCCCGGGAAGACTTCTGCTTCTGCGGCCAGCGGAACCAGACACAGAGGAGCAACCTCCGTTATGAGTGGACGCGAGAGCGGCACATCGCGATCAGGAACTCCGAGGAGGCCCTCACCATCCACGCGCCCTTCCCTGCCTCCCTGGAAGTGTCCTGGCTCTTCCCGGACCCCAGGGGCCTCTACCACTTCTGCCTCAGCTGGAACCGCCATGCTGGGACGTTTCGTCTTCACTATGGCAGGCACAACTATGTGCTGAGCAGCCAGGCCTCTGACCTGCTCTGCTTCCGGCACCAGGAGGAGAGCCAGGCCTCGGGGCCTCCGCTGCTTGCCACCTCTGTCAGGTCCTGGTGGAGCCCAAAGAACACCAGCCTGCCCAGGGCCTCAGGCTTCACCTTCTCCTTCCACGGTACGGCAGCTGCTGGGCAGAGGGCTGGAGGTGGGAAGGCGGGTGCAAGGCAGGATGGCAAGTGGGCTCCAGATCAGCAGGCCACAGGCCTGGGCTTTGTTCACAGGCAGTGGGAGCCATGGAAGGTGTCAGAGGAGGGGAGGAGTGAGGGCCCAGGTGAGCTTCAGAAGCTGTGTGGGGCACAGGGGAGAGGGTAGTGGGGCAGGAACCTGTGCAGAGGCTGCAGGGAAGATGGAGGTAGAAGAGGAGGAGAAGTGAGGGGGTGGGGAGAACAGAAAAATAGAGAAATTCTGCATCAGCACCCACATGCAGTGCTTTTCCCTGTTGTAACTTAGGGCCGGTGGGATGGATGGACAGTGATCAGGGGAAGGACAGGATGGAAATAAAGATATAATTGCTTGCAAGTCCTGGGGCCCGGGCACCCGGAGGTGACACACACCCATGCACATGCAGGTTAGGGAGCTCTGCTGAGAGAGGGCCCTGGGCCGATGCTTCTGCTAGAGTCCACAGTGCCACCTAGACAGATTCCCCATGGGTGCTTTGATTGGCGGGTTTAAGGCAGCTGACCCGAGTGCCTGGAGGTCAAGGGGTGCTGAGAGGTGGTCGGTGCGGGCTGGGGCCGGTGGGACCCCCCTGAGTAGCCTGTTTCTAGTATCCCGTGGGAGATGAGGCACAGATCTCAGGGACCACACTGAGGACCAGGTAAAGGTGCAGAGCTGGCCTGACCTTGGGTATGGGGAAGTCCAATTCCAGAATGGGTGTTGAGGCAACAAAACCATAGATATTCACTGCAACCTCCATGTCACCAAGGAGGAAACTGAGGCTGAGAGAGCCTGCTGCAGGATGCAGCTGACAGGTGGAGAAGTCTGGATTTGAATCCAGTGACTGATTGGCATGGCGGGTGGGGAAAGCAAGCAGGTCAAAGGTCCAGAAAGCTGGAGGAGGATGCTGAGGTCTGGGGACCGCATCTGCCTGGTGTGACAGGTGTGGAGTGGCCTCTGTCTCCCTTCCATGCCTGGTGAATGGGGCGGGGAAGGGGCAGCAGAGGGCTCATGAGCTTCCTCACAATTGTCCTCCTGGGACTGCCCTGACCCAGAGTCCGCCTGCACACGTGCATGTGTGCGTGCATGCGTGTGTGTGTGTGCCCGTGTGTGTATTTTAATCAGGGTCTCACTCAGTTGCCCAGGTTGGGGTCTGTGAGACCAAGTCCCCGTTTGGCTGCTTCACCTCTGAGTGGCCTGAGGGGTCCCTGCAAAGTCTCAGGGCCTCAGTTTTCTCTTCTGTAAAGTGAGGTAGAGGCACAGAGGGTCACGGCCTCCGTCTGTCTGTAGACCCTCCCCACAGGGCTTCCCCCAATGCCTCGGTGGACATGTGCGAGCTGAAGAGGGACCTGCAGCGGCTCAGCCAGCTCCTGAGGCTGCCGCAGAAAGCCTCGCGCAGGCAGCCGGCCACCTTTGCCAGCCAGTGAGTGTGGTCAGGGAGAGAGGCCGGCGGGGGGCCGGCGGGGGGCCGAGGGAGGCTCCTCAGGGCTGGAAGTGTCTCTGGATTTCCCATCTTTCCATCTGGGTGGGGGGTGACACACGGTCACCAAGCTGAGCCCCGAGTCCCTCTGGATGAGCAAAGACCTACACACCTGGCCAGCCAGCCACCCAGGCCTCTTCCTACCAGCAAAGAGAAGCAACCAGTCCATTCTGGGGCCTGGCAGAGGGGCTCAGAGACCATGTGCTGAGTCCCAGGACAGTGCCGCCTTGTCCTGTCCCTCCCCTGTCCTGTTGTTCTGAGGCCTGGCCACACAGCCGCCCTCGGCTCCAGGTCTCTCTCCCACCTGCTCCTGCATGCAGCCGGCTGTGTGTCCCTTCTGTCCCCTCTCCTCTCTCCCAGACCCCTTCCCCTCTCTGGGGAAGAGAGTGCCACCTCTTTCCTATGCACCTGCCTGGCCCCTTCTCTCTGCCTCAGTCTCCCTGCCGTCTCCCACCTCTCCCCATCAGGCAGCTGCAGAGCCTGGAGTCGAAGCTGTCTTCGGTGAGGTTCCCGGGGGACACGGTGTCCTTCGAGGAGGACCGGGTCAATGCCACGGTGTGGAAGCTGCAGCCCGCAGCGGGCCTCCAGGACCTGTATATCCACTCCCACAAGGAGGTCAGCTGGGCCAGGCTGGGTGGGAAGTGGGGGCCGAGAGAGCAGCGCCCCACAGTCTGTCCGCTGGACCCCAGGAAGTGGGTCCAGGGCCACCTTCCTCAGTCAGTGCCCACCCACCCTTGGCACTGAGAACATCCTGGGCAGTGTGGGGGAAACAGAGGTGTTGTCAGCTCCTGACCAGGGCTCCTGGGCACAGGCCCATGAACAGCAGGCCAATCCCCATGCCTAGGCCTGCACCCCGTCTCAAGACTGCCCTTTGCAGGGGACTCAGCTAGCTGGAGGCTATGTGGATCTCTTGCTGACCCCAAGGCTCTAACCACAGGGCTCCCTGGCTATGGCCAGTGCTGAGGGAGAAGCGTGGGGCCTGTGAACCAGGCAGGATGTGAGCTCAGGGTCGTCAATGTCCAGAAAGGGGCTCGTGTTATGGGGGCACCCGAGGGTCTGTGTTCAGCTGAACCCTAAGAGGGCCCTTGTTTGCAGGAGGAGCAGAGCGAGGTCCTGGAGTACTCGGTGCTGCTGCCCCGTGTGCTCTTCCAGCAGACCAAAGGCCGGCGCCAGGAGGCTGAGAGGAGACTGCTCCTGGTGGACTTCAGCAGTCAAGCCCTGTTCCAGGTTCGAGGTCTCCCCATCACGTCCGCCCCTTCCTGCCCTCCCTGGGGTATCATCAGGTTTTATCTACAGAGAGATGGAGAGAGGGCCTGCAGTTAGCCTCCCTCCTCCAGGGCCACAGCTGGACCTTGTCAATTGGAGATCAGACTGCAATGTGCAGACCTTCCTGGGAGAGGTCTTATCTGTGTTCTCACTACAGTGTGAATGACTTCACACACACCACACACACACACACACACACACACACACACACACGAGTTGATTCCAAGGAGGAGGATGAGGGGCTGCAAGGGCAGGTAATAGGGGACATGAATGTAATAAAATACATTATACACATTGAACTCCTCCTCCCAAACATGAAACCCAGGGTGAGGTGGGGGTGGTTGAAGTATGTTATGTGCACACACAAATCCGCCCAAGTGAAACCCTTGAATCCGTGTAACTGGTATGCACTAATCTTAAATGTGGGGAAAAAAGAATTGGCTTTGGAGGGAGACGTGTGTGGGAGAGACTCTTCAGCCTCACTCTTCCCCCAACCCTATGCGTCCAGGACAGGAATTCCAGCCAAGTCCTGGGCGAGAAGGTCCTGGGCATCATTGTGCAGAACACCAAAGTGGCCGAGCTCCCGGAGCCTGTGGTGCTCACCTTCCAGCACCAGCTACAGCCGGTGGGTGCCCTGCTCTGCAGACAGGGGCCCCTGGGCCTGGTTCCATCTCCCTGGGCTGGGTCCCCCTGGGCTGGAGGTCCTTGCCTCCTTCCCTGTGTCACCAAGCCATTGCCGGGCAGCTCCAGTATGGAGCAGGGGGGTGGCCTGTCCCTGTCCTGCGTGTCCTCTGTGGGCCCAGGTCCGGGTGAGCAGCTTGTGGGGCCCACACTCCCCGCTCTTGCCCTCACAGAAGAACGTGACTCTGCAGTGTGTCTTCTGGGTCGAAGGTGCAACGTGTGAGTGTGGAGGGGCCCATGGAGCAGGAAGCATGGGGATGGGGGATGGGGGGCAGGGTGCACCAGGAGAAGGCCAGGGATCTACTGGGCGGGGCAAAGGCTGGCAAGAGCCCCGGCCTGCACTGAGGTAGGGGCAGGATGGGGTTCTGGGCTCTGGGGCTGACCGGAGCCCTGTGCCGTCCTCCGCAGTGAGCAGCCCGGGCAGCTGGAGCAGCGCTGGGTGTGAGACCCTCCGGAGAGAGACCCAGACATCCTGCCTGTGTGACCATCTAACCTACTTTGCAGTGCTGATGGTGGGTGACCCTGCCCGCAGCCACACCGAAGGCCAAGTACTTGTCCTGTGCCGGGCACCTGCCCCTCCAAGGGAGTTTCTGCTTCCCCATTGTATAGTTAAGGAAATACTGAAGCTCAGAGAGGATAAGTAACTTTACCCGAGGTCACACAGCTTGTTAACAAAAGAGCAGCTTTGTGAAGCCCTTGTGTTTGCACCCAGATTTTGGCTTGGGATAAAAATGCAGATTCCTTCTCCTAACCCACAGAGCTGGGTCAGCACTGTGTTTCTAAGGAGCCCTGACTAGAGCTGAAGCCTGGCACAGAGGTCAAAAGGTGGGCTTCAGGGTTCTCAAGATCTTACGGGGCTTCGTGTCCCAAGTTCCTGTTCCCAAAGTCCCTTGGGCTTGGGACATACACTTCCTCTGGGAAATGCATTCTAATCATCATGGAAACATTCAGATATTGCTCAACTTACAGTGTGGTCACATCCACCCCAATAAACCCCCAGCAAGGTGAAGATGTATTGGATCCACCTAAGCTGCCTCCCTGCACAGCGGGTGGGGCGGTGGGGGCTCCCCTTGGGTGGTGGGGCCGAGGGAGTGTGGCTCACTGCTGCTGCCCATCTTGGCACCCAGGAAAAGATCAAATTCAAGCTTCCAAGTGCAGTTTCTGCTGACTGCTTTTGTAGCCCCGCAAGGCTGGGAAGATCCTGTCAAACCATCATCAGTCAGGGGATATCTGTCCTTCAGTGCTGGGCCAGCACTGGGGTTCTCTGGTAAAGGGCTCTTGACCTTCGTGGCCTCGAACCCCTGTGGAACTGGGGAAGCTGTCAACCCTCTGCAAACCTGTGCTCAGGGCCCCAGGGCTGCTTGGGTCGGGAACTTCCTGTTCCCAGCCCTACCAGGGTTACTGGCAGCATAGAGCTGGCCCTGAGACACTGCCTGTCCTGCAGGTCTCCTCTGTGGAGGTGGACGCCGTGCACAAGCACTACCTCACCCTGCTGTCCTACGTGGGCTGCGTCATCTCTGCACTGGCCTGCGTCCTCACCATTGCTGCCTACCTCTGCTCCAGGTAGGGCCAGGGAGGCAGGGCAGGGCAGTGTCCATTCTGCCTGCAGGCCAGGACCCCAGAACCAAGGTTCCCTGGGATTGGTGCTCCTGTTGGACCCCAGGATGAGGGAATGCTGGGGAAAGCCCAGTAGAGCTGCTGACCCCAGGGGGCCACCTTTGATCTGAACATCTGAGACTTTTGGGTAGACTCTGATTTACACATTTTAGTTCCTGGCCAGCATTTCAATTGGAAGAGTTCTAATAAGAATCCCTATTTCCCGCCTGCCAGGCGATCAGCTGTGAGACCACGGGGTACTCAAAATAGTCCAGTGGTGATGGAAGTGATGATAGTGAACACTTGCATGGAGCTTTCTAGATACTTTCCAAGTGTCAATTTGGGCCAGCCCACAACTGCCCTATGCAGGAGGGCTCAGAGAGAGTGACTGGCTTGGTTTGTCCAAATCACACAGCAAGCAAGCTTGTCAGATTGTTGGTGCCTTGCTTGGCCTGGATTGGGGTCTGCTTTCAGGCAGGCTGTAGGCCTGTTTGGGTAGTGGAGACATCCTTGGTTCTGGGGGACACCCATGGTGTCCTCATTGTCCCCAATCAGGAGGAGGGGAGAACCAAACCATGTGCAGGTGTGCACGAGCACATGTGTGGACGGATGACCTTGTCCTGTATGTCTACAGATGTCCACTCTGGGGGCTAAGCTGGTAACCATGATGAGGAGGGACAGTTGATGGGCCTGGAGGAAGGCAGAGTGGGAACAGAAACCTAATGGATCACAAACATGCCCAACAACACGGGGTCAGGAGCCATAGGAGCTGAAGTCTCCCCTGTGCCAGACACTCACCTCAACCCCAGGAGGGACCCTCCTCCCCTTCACAGAGGGGTAGGCAGAGCATCTGAGCCCAGGGGAGCAGCCCAAGGTGGTGCCCCAGTTAGAGGAGGAGGGGGGTCCAGGATGGCGAATTCCACAGGGGGCTGAGCACTCAGGGCCCTGCAAGCCCAAGCCCTACACACCCGCCCCGCGCTCCCAGATGCACAGCCAGAGAGGCAGGCACAGCACCTCCCATCCAGCCAAGGTGCTCACATGGCCCACCGTCCTGGCCAACCTGTCTTCCTCCTATTGACTGTACACGTGGTGAGCCCGTGCCCTGTGGTCTGAGAGGCCAAGGTGAGAGGATTTCGAGTTTAAGCTCAGCCTTAGCAACCCAACAACTCAGTGGGACCCTGTCTAAAAATAAAAATTGAAAAGGGCTGGGGATGTAGCTCAGTACAAAGGCCTTGGGTTCAATTCCCAGTACTGCAAAAAACATGTGTGCGTGGTTCCTGGAGTGGGGGGGCACAGTAGGTTCCAGGGACGTGTGTGTGTGTGTGTGTGTGCGCACGAGCACGCGTGTGTGTGACTCTGGCCCACCTCCCTGCACTCCCACCTGCAGGAGGAAGCCCCGAGACTACACCATCAAGGTGCACATGAACTTGCTTCTGGCCGTCTTCCTGCTGGATGTGAGCTTCCTGCTCAGTGAACCAGTGGCCCTGACGGGGTCCAGGGCAGCCTGCTGTGCCAGCGCCGTCTTCCTGCACTTCTCCCTGCTCTCCTGCCTCTCCTGGATGGGCCTTGAGGGCTACAACCTCTACCGCCTCGTGGTGGAGGTCTTCGGCACCTACGTCCCCGGCTACGTGCTCAAGCTGAGCGCTGTGGGCTGGGGTGAGTGAGTGTGGGTGAGGGGTCCCCAGAACTGCCTTTCCCAGCTGTTTCTGGCTGAACATAGGCAGCTGGCTCTGCTTCTCCTCCTAGGTCCTCAATTCCCTCATGGCTTCCTTCACTCACTGGTTCTCTGGGGTCCTTACCCTGGGCTTGGCCAAGGTCCCCTTTAGGAAGATACAGTGGTGAGCCCTGTCCCCAGGAAACACTTGCAAATTCTCCACACTGTTCACTCTGTTAAAGGGGAATTTTGGGTCAGGGCCTCCATGTACGAATGTGCGGGCTGTGCACTCTGCAGGGACACGTGTTTGGGGGATATGTGTGGCTGCAGTCAGGTTGGCCTACTCACCTGACTCACTTGGGCTGGCAGTGGCCCTGCCTGGGGATCCCCACGGACCTCAGGTGCCAGGTTCTCTGTGGCTTTATCACTTTGTTCGTGGCCAAGGACACTTCATCTGTGACCTAAACCACTCACTTTCCACCCTGATCTCGTGGGCTCATAGCATGGGCCGCGTTGGACATTGCACAGACCTCCGGCCTCATGTCCCCAGGCCCTGTGTCTCTCATGGGCCCCTCTTCATTGCCCCTCCTGTGTCATGGAACTCCTTGAGTTGACTGTGTGTCAGGCCCCAGGGAGCCTTCTGTCCATCTGCGGACAGACATCCCTTTGGTCCCGAACTCCTGCTGTCCCCTGAGCTGCCACCCTTCCATGTCCTCTTCTCTTCCCATCTCTCCTGTGACATCTGTTCCCTGTGCAGGGAACTGTAAACCCTTTCGCCTGGGGCCCCTGGAAGGTTAGGGAAGATCCTCCCCAACACTATGGGAAAGTCCACCTGGAACGGGCAAGAGCAGGGTCCAAACTTGGGGGACTTCCCAGTCAGCTGGTGGCCCCAGACCCATCCAAGGGCAGGCAGTGGCCTCACTGGGATGGTGGAAGTAAGCTTGGGGCTCTGCCACCCCCAGGCTTCCCTGTCTTCCTGGTGACGCTGGTGGCCCTGGTAGATGTGGACAACTATGGCCCCATCATCCTGGCTGTGCACAGGACTCCAGAGAGCGTCATCTACCCGTCCATGTGAGTGGTTGGTATGTGTGTGTGTGTGTGTGTGTGTGTGTGTGTGTGTGTGTGTGTGTGTGGTGGGGGGAGTGTGAGCCTCTGGCTGTAGGGGACAGAGAGACTTCTGGGGCCCAGTTTGCTGTAGGGATTGGCCTGGTGGTGGCTGGAACCCTGGGCTGAGGGTCACATGGGTGACAAAAGGCCTGGATGGGTCACTCAGGTGCCAGGCAACCATGCATGGGGCCTGGCCCTTCTTTGAGCTGAGTTTCCTCACTGGTGGAAGGGTGGAGCCCATGACTCCTGCCTTGTCCCTAGGTTGCCCATCTGCCTTCCTGCACAGGTGGAAAGAGAGAGGCCCTGAGGGCCACTCTGGTCCACACTGGGGCTGCTCAAGGGCACCCACTGGGGGGACGATAGGGCCAAAGTCCAGCCCTTGTCCATTCCCATAGTCTACCTGGCTGGTGGCAGCCCTGTCTGCAGTCCCGAGTGAAACCAGCCTGGCAGCCAGGCTTCCTGAACTCCAGCCGAACAGGGAGTGGTTTCCACTGGCTCTGTGGTCTTGGAATTTGCAGCCCTTTAAGTCATTCCCTGCGACTTGCCTCTCCCTTGTATCATCGCTAGCATTATTCACTTAATGTTTTTCTGTAAATCATCAGACTTGTTAATTTACATGTGCTTTAAAACAATTAAGCCAACTCCATAAATAGAGTGGTGGCACAGGCCTGTAATCCCAGCACTCTGGGAGGCTGAGGCAGGAGGAGTGCAAGTTCAAGCCCAGCTTGGGAAACTTTGAATCTTAGCAAGACCTTGTCTCAAAATAAAACATTTAAAAAGGGATGAGGAGGGCCGGGGATTTAGCTCATTGGTTCCAGCACCTGCCTCGAAAGCTCAAGGTCCCAAGTTCGATCCCCGGTACCAAAAAAATAAAAAATAAAAAATAAAAATAAAAGGGGATGAGGATATAGTTCAGTGTGGAGTCTCTGGGTTTGATTCCCTAGTACAGAGAGAGAGAGAGAGAGAGAAGAACAAAGGAAATAGGAAGTACTTGGCATAACAGTAACCATGGCAACAAGTGTGGCGCTGACCGTGGATTTGCAGCCCCAGCCCACGCATGTCTGAGCCCTTGCGCCCTGGCCTGCAGGTGCTGGATCCGGGACTCCTTGGTCAGCTATGTCACCAACCTCGGCCTCTTCAGCCTGGTGTTTCTGTTCAACCTGGCCATGCTGGGCACCATGGTGGTGCAGATCTTGCGGCTGCGCCCGCATAACCAGAAATGGCCGCATGTGCTGACACTGCTGGGCCTCAGCCTGGTCCTTGGTTTGCCCTGGGCCTTGGTCTTCTTCTCCTTCGCCTCTGGCACCTTCCAGCTTGTCATCCTCTACCTCTTCAGCATCATCACTTCCCTCCAAGGTAGGCCTGGAGAAGACCCCAGCCCGAGCAGCTGGCCTGCGGGGAGCACAGGGCTGGAGGAGAGGACCGCGGGCACCTGAGGCTTCCCTGTCTGGGCCTCGGTCGTGTGGTGTTCGGAGCTCAGCCTTCGTCGAGTAGGCTGAGCCTGAGTCCCAGACACGTAGCCATTGAGGGCAACCTCGGAGAGAAGGGCAGTTGGAGTGGGCAGTGCTGTGGGTAGCACGTGGGCCGGCATGGGAATGCTTTAGGGAAGGTGGCCTGGGGGCTTCTGTGTGTAGGAGACAGTTGAGGAAGACAGAAGGACGCTGCCATGGAGAGATCCAGAGCCTCATTACTCCCAGTGGGCTCACAGGCCAGATCGGCATCACTGGGGGCTCTGCTGCACAGATCTGCACTTTAGTAAATGCCCTGTGTGCACTCACAGCTGAGGAGTCCTGGGGTGAGGAGGGAGCTCCAGGCACAAGCAAAGGTTCTGAGGTTGGATGAGGCTGTGTGTTGGGAGAATGGTGAAGAAGAGCATGGCTAAAGGGCAGCTTGTGAGGAGCAGGAGCAGAGGGCAGGATTATAGGGTCCCAGCTTGACACCAACAGAGTCCGCCCTGCGCTGCGCTACCCCTCTGTTGTTTATTTTTGAGCCTTCCTTTTCTCCCCGCTGAAAGGAAGGTGCCCCTAAGAGTTACAGTGAAGTGCACACGGCCACCCAGACAGCACCGAACCACTCCTCCAGCACAGGCGAGTCACAGGCGCTCACGTGAGCAGGCTCCAGAGCCTGAGCTTCCTCCCACCCCAGGCTCAACCAAGTTCCCTTCCCTGGGCCCCCAGGCCTCAGTTTCCTCTTCTGTGAAACAGAGTCATGATGAACAGGAGTAGGCCTGTAGGAGGCTGTAGAGGATGGAGAGGCGAGGACCAGGGACGAAGCGCAGCACCTGGTGCATGGAGGCAGCACGTGTGGGGAAAAGGCTGGAGAGGAGGGGCACGGGCCTGAGCCAAGGTGGCTCTGGGAGAGGTGAGGTGGGCAGGGCGGGGCATCCCTGCCTGCTGAGCCCATGTACCCCCACTGCTTCCTGCAGGCTTCCTCATCTTTCTGTGGTACTGGTCCATGCGGCTGCAGGCCCCGGGCGGCCCGTCCCCTCTGAAGAGCAACTTGGACAGCGCCAGGCTCCCCATCAACTCAGGCAGCACCTCGTCCAGCCGCATCTAGGCCACCAGCTCAGCTGCCCCATGTGAGGACGTGGAGCTGTCCACAGCCCCGGGCCTGGTCCTGACCGGAGAAGGCCCTGGACCTCGGAGAGATGGGCTGCTGCCTTGGTAACGAGACCTGACCTTAGGGACGACTCGGCTCCCAGGTCTGGCCCCCAAAGGGCTCAGGTGTACACCGCCACTCTGGGTGTGTGACTGTCCCCCGCCATTCCAACCTGGCGCTGAAGCCTTGTCTTTCCCGACCACACCTCCCTTGCTGGTGGTTGGGACCTGCAAGCCTCGGGGTCAGGCCTTTGGGTCTTGGAGGCCTGGCACATTCTTACCTCTGTGGCCCTGACCAGGACAAAAATGTGGCTATAGCTGCCCTGTGCCTGGTGGTCACCGAGTAGGATCCTGCAGCCCCTGTTGTTCTAACCCGAGGGGGCACCAGGGCAGATTGAGTGGGGCAGAGCCCCCAGAGTGAGAGGCCCATGGAGCACAGCAGCACTCCCCTGCCTCTGCGCCCAGCCCGTGTCCACCAGCTCCCAGGCTTTCCTCTCCCTTCCCTCTCCTCCCTCCTTCCCTGTGGTCACCCAGTCCTCCCCCCACACCCGGGTCCCCAGTTTTGGGCAGTGGTTCCCAAGAGCTGCCTGGTGCCTGCTATAAACCTTCGTCTACTTCTCAGACCTTGGCCAGTCCCTGCTGGTCTCAGCATGATGCCTGGGCTGGGCCGGATCTGTCAATCTGGGCCTCTTCTCTGAGCTGCCTCACCCCTGCTCTCACCTCAGAGGGGCTTCGGCCTCTCCTCTCCGGAAGCCTGCCTGTGGCCAGAACCAGGGGATGGAGCAGCCTTGTTTTCATCCCAACACTTGGAAGGCTGAGGCGTCCTCCTCTGGTGACGCTGGTCTGGACTTGACTTCCCTAAAGGGTCATCTGAATCCTTGCAAGTGGCCCCAGATATGCTCACTGCCCATCATGGTGAATATTGCCCAACAAACACACGCTGGACTGTCACCAGGTGATGCTAGGTAATAGGGACACAGATGACCAGATCTGGCCTCTCCCTTTGCAAACTCTCAGCCTAGTATGTGAGCTCCAGGCATGGGTCTGGGCACCACCACTCCTGGCTGAGAATCCAGGGAGACTCCCTGTGGGAGGTGGCATTAGATCTTGACCTCAGCCATAAAGATGAGGAGGTTGTTTTTCAGTACTTACTCATTTGTCTTTTGATATGAAAAAGAAGTAATGTCTGTTGTAGAGAATTTGGAAACTGTAGAAGATTGTGAAGAAGAAAAATAAAAATCAGCTCTTGTTATTGTCTGAGAAGCCAGTGCCAACATTTTAGAGCATTTTCTTCCGAGCTTTCCCTTGTGCTCCTATTGGAAGCATTGCTGACCCAGACACCTTTGGGCCAATCAGGAAGCAAGAAAGAAAAACAGGGCTGTGTTTGTGGGAAAGGCAGCTGCTGGGAACCTTTCCAGCCTTAGAAACAGGAAAGGAGGAGAAAGGGCTGGGTGGTGTGGCTGTCAGTGTTGGGGAGGCAACGGAAGTGGGGGGTCTGGTGAAGTGCAGATTATAGACCCCACAAGGAGTGGAGCCAGTGACTGCTTGTGGGAAGAGGCCCCGTGCAGCCAGGCCGCCTACTGTTTCTGAGAAACACAGATGATGGTGTTAAAATCCATTGATTTAAAGGTGTTGGCAAATCCGAAACATTCTCTGGCCAAAGCGCTCAGATCTGAGAGCTGAATGCGGCCGTTGTCTGGTCATGTGACACAGGTGACCAGGCCAGTGAGCAGACTTGAGTGGGTGGGCTGCAGCAATGAACCAGAGTGGATTTCCTCCGAAACTCTTCCTTAACCTTGTTCTGCTTAATCTCCCTTCCTGTCCCGTGGCACGGGTTAGGCAAGAATCTGTCCCCGTCCAGGTCACCTTTGGCCATTAGTGTTGAGTGTGAAGTGCCACTGCAGTGGTGGTCAGAACCCACCCCCTGCGGGTTCCTGCTCCTCTGCCACTGTCCCAGGGAAGCTCGGGCAGGGGAAAGAAGCTGGGGGTCTGCGCTTTGGAGGACAAGCGCCAGGTCGCCTTGGTCCTTCGGGGCAGATGAACTGTGCTCGTGGTGGGGCCTGGATGTGGGAGGTTTGGGGACCTGCAGGGACCTTAGCACGTGGAAAGCCTTGAGCCCTGCCTCTCTTCCAACCCCTTCTGGTGACCTCTGCCACACCTGTCTCCACATAGGGAGTTCTTGTGCCCCCTACTCCTGACCACAGAGCCCAGATGTCCTCACCAAGTCCCCACCACCACCACCAGGTGTCCTGACTGGGCAGCCCCAGGGGCCCTGAAGGACCAATCCTTTCAGCCTCTTGTTTCCTCTTTTTTTTGGTACCAGGGACCAAACTCAGAACCTTGAACTTGTGAGGCAGGCAGTAGAACCACTGAGCTAAATCCCTGGCCCCCTTTTAGCCTCTTGGTCCTCACAAGAGGAGCTGTCTTAGCCCCATTGCCAGGCCAGGCTTGGAGGGGGTGAGGTTGCTCCTCCCCGCCTTCAGCCCTCCCCCTGGCAAGTGAGCAGCACCCCCAAGCAAATTCTTTTCTTTGAATACCTGGTTTTGAGATTCAGGAAGCTGGCTCAGGGTTAGGAGGGGTCTCAGTTTGGGTCCCATTTCCTCTGAAGGGCCCTGCATGGGCACCCTGACGGCTCTGTGTTGCTCCTTTGACCCTGATGGCTCTTGCTGGGCTATGGGGCGGTAGGTAACAGGGTCAGCCTCCCACCAGGGTATGGCCAGATGGGCATCTGGAAACAACCCTCTTGCACGGGAAATGGAGTGGACGACCCAGGGGTGAGTGCTAGCTGAATCTAACCAATGGGTTGAGGCCTTGCCCACCTGGACCCATTAGGACAAGATGGGGAGGAGGTGACAGAAGGGGACACTGCAGTTCTGTTGGCCCTGGGATTTGGGGCCCCCAGACTCTGAGTGGCTCCATGCCAGTCCCTGGACTCTTTCAGAGACTGTAGGCGAGGTGGCTCTCCTGGCTCTGCCTGACCATTCCCTGTCATCTTCCCAGCTGCTGGGGTCCTAGCAGGAAAGGCTCTGTGTCCCTGGTGTTGGCCTCCCAGGTGGGCTCGATGCTCTGGGCTTCTGGGTTCTGACCTGCTGCCCCTGCTGGATTCCTACTGCTCCCCACAGCCCACGAGTGATCATGACATTCCTTTTCCACCCCTCCCCAAGCCCAGAGGACCCAGCAGGGGAGTATGTGGGAGGAAGGGGAAATAGAGGCCAGTGAGGGGACCAGTGACTCCCTGGGGCAGAGTGGCTGGCTCTGGCCTGTGGGTCTGAGGGGTTTTGGTGACTGTGCACCTTCTTAGTGAGAGGCCCTTCCCCTTCTTATCTCCCAGTGGCCATGGGACCCAGCAAGGTCCTGCCCACACACAGGCTTCCTTGGGGCCTGAATAGCTGAAGCCCAAGTTGGCGGCCGCACCCTTCCCTCCTGAGGAAGCTCATGTGTATCTGCTGTCCCTGCTTCCTGCCTGGGGGGCCCGACAGTGACCAACAGGGTAATTTCGCAGTACAGATCGTCATCAAATGACAGTGACAACACCCACACCCTGCAGCTCCCCAGGCATCAACTCTTGGTCCGTCACATGCTATGTAAGGGTCATCAGCCAGGAAGTGGCCAAGACAGACGTCAACCAGGCCCGATCACTAGCCAGGGCCCAGGCTTCTGGCCCTGCATCCTGCCTCTCTGTGCTTCCTGTTATCCAGCCTGGAGGGGGAGGCTGGCTCCTCTCTCTTTCTGGCCCCAGCAGGTATGGGCTTGAGTCTGGCTGCATTCAAACCAGGTGACATCCAAATCCTTGACCTCATCCTTGTAGCCAGGCTGCTGTGATCGGAGTGTTAAAGGTCATCAAATCCCAACAGAGCCGCAGGAGGCAGCCTGTCACTGTCACTGGTCTGTACAGAAAGAAGTGAGGGTCAGAGAGGCCCCCAGCTTGTGAGAGGAGGTGGCCGTGGGAGGTCCCTGTGGGGCTCAGCCTGGCTCCCTCTGCAGATAGTCTCCGGTGGGTGAGGCTCCGTCAGAGCACTGCCCAGTTCCCCACACTCACCTTTCACAACCCAACCGATGGTGCCACTGAGCAGGAAGAAAGAAGCCACAGGAAGAGGTGTGGGGCAGGCAGGGGGAAGACAGGCAGCTGGACAGAGCCCAGGACCAGAGGACTTGACAGCCACAGGGCTCTGACTGCTGCAGATGGAGACACCCAGGGGCCTGTGGGCCTTGCTCCTCCTGCTCCTGGCCTCAAGTAAGTGTTGGCTCCTCGGCCCCTCCTGCCAAGCCTGGGAGACCCTGTGCTGCAGATGGGCCCAGGGCAGGGTAGACGGAGACCCAAGAGAAGGCAGGGGCAGGGCAGGGGGATGAGGAGCTAGGGGGTCTGGGACGTGTCCTCTGAGGAGCCCACCATGACCGCCTCCCCCCTTCCTCCAGCCTTGTCCCTCTGGGCCAGTCCTGTCATCCCGATGAACCACGTCAGCGTGTGTCTCAGGTCCCTTTGTCTCTCCACAGTCCCTTGTAAACTGGAAGGTGGAGGAAGCTCCCCTCATCCCAGCTGTGGCTTCTTGACAGGCCTGGTTCCGGGACATGGGTGGGCCTGGGAGGAGCTACTTGGCTGGTCTCTGGGCTCCTGGGGAAGGGGATTGGGCTCTCTGGAAGCTGAGGCTGGATAGGGGTTGCACCCACTCCACCCACACATCCATGTCTCACCACGGCACCACTGTCCTCAGTGACAAGGGCCATGATCCAGAGCTTCTGGCCCTCCACCCTCCCGGACACACAGGGTCTCCAGAAGCAGCTGAAGGTCTGCCTTCCCCTCTCTCCCAGGACAACGCCCCCCCCTCCGCCACACACACACATCCCTCACCCCCTAGCCTTTCTCAGGTGTTCTGCGGCAGCTCTACAGTCCCTTCCCTGATATTCGTTCACATCTGAGCTCCTTGGGGTTTGCCCTAGCTTCAGCAAGTGGCCTTCATGTCTGTCTCCCTGAGTGTCTGTCCTGTATCTGGCCGTGTGATGTTGGCCACAGGGATCAACCTCTTTGGGCTTCAATGAACTCTTCAAATGTTGGGAGATTCAGTGATGGGCAAAGTTCAGTTTCTGGCTCAAAACAGAGTAAAAAATGGAGGTGCTGTCTCAGTGGCCGGGGAGGTCCTCATACAAGCAACCCTGGATGGATGGATTAACTTAATCACTGATGGCGGCCATGACCAGGTCCCAGAGGCCCCCTCAGGACTCGGGGCCTTCACAGAGCTGTTACTCACTGGTGGGCCTCCACGGCCCTGAGTGGTGGTATGTGCCTGATTGGTGTGCAAACTCCAGCAGGGCAAGGCCACAGCCATCCGAAGGACATATGAAGCCTCGTGGCTTCATATCTTGCGGTGGACCCTGCTGTTGTGGGTGTTTGTGTCCATTTGCCGGTCCACTCATCATCCACTCCTTCCTTCTCCCATTCATCCACTTGTTCCTCAGTCACTCCTTCGAGAAGTCTGGAGGCAGTCCTCAGCGCTGTGCCAGGCCCTGTGTTGGTACTGCCACCCAACCCCCAATTGGTCTGAGGAGGTGCTTGAAGCTGAGATGAGGTGCTTAACCCACCCTGAATATAGACTGTTGGAGGCTCCCCAACTCCCACTGTGGAAAAAGAATTTTCAGAACTCATCAGTAAGAGGCACGGGAAGGGCTTACCAGGAGAGATTTTAGTCCACACTCAAAAAATAAAGTGCCAGACCTCAAGAGAGAGAGGCACATTATGGGCTGGAGCTGCATATGTCTCTGGGGTCTTGGGAGCATCTCAGGATGGGTGACCTAGGATGTGTGTTCCTACGGTCTGTCGGTTACCATCTGGCAGGCTTTGTCAGAGCACAAGCCATAACTATGTTTGAAGTTGAGATCTGCTGCCCGCTAATACTGCTGCTTCCTCAAGGATGGAGGAAGCTCAATTCACAGGCGAAAAGGACAGGTCCAGAGCCCAACTTACAGGCTTATTGTGTCTCTAAGACCTTTAGGATTTTTTTTTTTTTGAATGAGTTTCCTGGAAGGGAAAAGGGTTTCAGAGTAACTTTTATGGGCTGGAGCTGTAGGGGTTTTTATTTGTTTGTTTGTTTTTATAAGTATGGTACAATTTTAAAATTCCAATTTCCTTGTCTCCTTTTTACCTATCTTTTATTTCTTCTATCCTACCTCAGAACCACATGGTCCCTGCCCCAAGGTTCCCAGTCTAGCTGAGTGAGAGCTACTTTAGTCCCAAGGAGTGATGGGGATCAGCATTTGGGGACTGGGCTGTTAGGACCGAGCAGGGGACAGATGTATGCTCCCACAGGCAATGGAGCTTTCCTAAAGGGCCACTTTACAAGCTGGTGGGTGCAGGGTCATGTGCCTGTAATCCCAGCATTCTAGGAGGCTGAGGCAGGAAGATCACAATTCCAGCCCAGCCTGGGCAACTTAGTTTTATGACTTAGAGAGATCCTGTCTCAAAAAATTTCTTAAATAAATAAATAACATGGGCTGAGGATGTAGCTCAGTGTGAAGTGATTAACCTCAGGGCCACTGAAAACAGGTAGGGGGGAAGGACCCTTTCCAAAGGTGTAGACTGGGAAAGGGAAACAACAATGTGAAAAAGAAAAAGAAAAGATAGTCTGCCTGAGGGAAGATCTCGGTACTCTGAGGCTGAGGAGCAAGGGAGGGAGTCCCAAAGGAGGGGAAAATGGCCGCTGGTCTGTGTGGAAGAGGGGTTGGCAAATGCCTGCTCTGTCCACCTCCTGCCCTCTGGCTCCAGCCTTCTGCCCAAAGCTGAGCCCATACGGGGTGCTGAGGAGGGAGAGCAATGGGTGAGTGTGGTGGTGTCTGGAGGGCTGAGGGGGCCTCTTCCCACACTCAGGCCTAGTTCAGGATCTACTTGGCTGGGCCAGATGCAATCTTCTCTGTGCTGCTCTGCACTGGATTCTTGCCAAGAGCTTCCTATCAGTGAGTTGTGAAATACAGGGCAGAATGGGAGGGCAACAGGGCGGGAGAACAGGAGGGAAGCTCTGGTCTCAGCCATCCCATGGCCTGCACCTGTCCATAACCCCTGGAGCAGACAGAGGGGCTGGGAGGACAGAAATGTCCTCTCTCCTTGAGGCAACAACTTCCACTCCTCCCTCCTCCGCTTCCCTCTTCCTTCTCTCTTTTTCTTTCCTCCTCCTCCTCCTCTCCACCTCTCTCCCTTTTACTTAAAATGCAACCACACATCCATCACAGAGTGCTCCTCTAGCACCTGCCTTTTCTCATCAAGCAATGTGTGATAAATATCTTTACAAGCTAGGAGAAGTAGCTTAGGTGTCTTCGGCTAAGTCCCAGAAGTTGCAGTCTTCTTACAAAGTACAGTTTTTAGTTATGATTTCCTTGTGTTCTTTCTTTTATTTTTTCTTTCCTACCTCACAACTATATAAAAAATAAGGTGAAAATCTCTTCAAGATATATCAAATGAGTGATCTTATTTGTATAAATTTTTAACTGATCTATATACAGTAATCCCAGCACTTGTCAGGCTGAGGCAGGAGGATCACCATGAGTTCTAGGCCAGCCTGGGCTACACAGTGAGTTCAAGGCCAGCTTACACTACAAAGCAAGACCCTGTCTCAAAAAACCAAAAAAAGGATCTTCATACAGCTGAGCATAGTGCCACACTCCTGTGATCTGAGCTACTCAGAAGGCTGAGGCAGGAGGATCACAAATTCTACTCCAGCCTGGGAAATTTAGCAAGATCATGTCTCAAGAAATTTTCTTTTTATATATACATACAAAATAAACTTTTAAGAGTGGTAAACTCTGGGGGTATAAGCTGGGATCTGCAAGAAAGATGACTTTTACTTTTTCATTTTGTGTTCTTGTGTATAGTTTATCAGTGGTGGCGAATCTATGGCACGTGTGCTGTTTGTTATCACTGAAAGTTCTGAAAGGTTTGCCATCACCAGTTTAGGTTTTTTAACTCTATGGATGTACTACTACCTGTATTGGCTGCTCACTGCAGCACAGGGGTTAAAACCCTTAACAGCAGGCTCCAATAAGAGATTAGCAGTACTGATAAAAGATAGCAACACTGATAGAAACAAACCTCTGAGGTAAGGGCCATTCATTCCTCCTAATGAGTACAGACTCTTTACCTAAAGCCAAAGGTCTTCTGTGAACCAGAAGAAATGTTCTTGTCAAAACTGCAACAGTAAACGTATAATTTTTTAAAAAAACACAGGTTCTCCCCAGAAGAACTACAAGATGCTAAATGATTCAGGAAAGACATTCTCTAGATAATCACATTTGCTGCCAGATCCTCTTTCTACATCCTCAAACCCTTATAAAACCCCAATCTCTCACCCTAAAGGTGCAATTCCTCTCTTGGAAACTCACCCACCATCTCTCTTGACAGTGTGCCCTGACTGAAATAAATTCCTGTCTTTTCTAAATTCCTTGCCTGTTGGTAAATTCCTATTACTGCCTGCGTCATTGGCTTGCTGGCTGTCTTGCATGGCATGACCTTTGGAGAGAGAGAGAGAGAGAGATGTGTAGACACAAACACACACCAATACATGCATATGTGAGTAATCTGTCTTGGAATAAACTTCTCATCTCTTAGTATAGATAATGGTTTTTTGAATACCAACTGATGGGCCATTTCCTTTATGTGTATTATCTCTAATCTTGCTCTAAAGCTTAAAAGGAAGATATTATCAGCTCTTCTTTGCTGATGAGAAGATACAGCCTTAGTTGGCTGTATTCTTTACCTACTACAGTAGGTAGTATAAGAGATAGTTTAATTAGTTAGCTTTAAAAAGTGTTAATTCTAGAGCTTGGGATTTAGCTCAGTGGCACTGCACCTGCCTTGAAAGTGCAAGGTCCTGAGTTCTATCCTGGTACCAGAAGAAAAAAAAAGTGTTAATAAGATGAGTTATCTATTTTACTTGTTAAGATAACTAAGTGCGGACCCCTTACTGAGGAATTACTGAACTAAACTCCACTCTATTCTAAAGGTAGCAATTGTCTGAGCCATTTGCTTCAGTTTTTCTCCACTGATGGGTACAGTTTGTCCAGTTTTTTGCTGGAGTCTTATTAAGCCCCACTCCAAAAATGTCCTTAAAATTATATATTATATGTAACTAAGTTGGGTATAACTAAAAGTTTATGCTTTCTCTGTCTAAAACAACTAGGTTTTCTTAAGATAATGAGATGCTGTTGGTTAAACTTACAAATCTAGATTAAAAGGCAAAGTTTCTATATTTTACTAAGATAGTTTTTCTTGTGTTTTCCATTGTTAGGCTTTTAGTTACTAAATATTGAGCTTTAAGAGTTAAAGATTGTTTAAGTATTGGCTCATAAAATGTTTTCAATAATCAGTTTATGATTGGTTAAATAAACAGTTATTATCTTAATTTATGACACAACCAATATATCTGGGACTAGAGATACATCTAAAAGCAAACTATGTGGTGAGTATATGCTTTAAAATTAAATTTATAAAATTAAAATTAATAAGATCAATACATTCAAAGTAACTAATAGATGCTGTCTTTTATATAATATACATCTAGACCTTAGACATATAAAATGATTAAAAATTTGGCTTCTCTTTAAATTTTACCCTGCCATTTACAACTTGGTCTACATCTATTGGCTTTGAACAAACATTTTGCTATTGTATAAATAAAATATGTATATATAGGGTAATAAAGTCTATTCATAGTTATCAATACCACTTTCTAAATTTTTGTTTTGTTTTGTTTTTTGAGACAGAGTCTCACTATGTAGTTCAGGATGACCTTGAACTGACTATTTTGCCCAAGCTGGCCTTGAACTCATGGTGATCCTCTTGCCTCAGCCTGCCAAGTGCTGAGATTACAGGCATGCACCACCATGCCCAGCCATCACTTCCTAAATTTACAAGAGCTCTAAAGATGTCCTTCAATTCTTGTCAGTGAAATTACACACAATAAACCTGTTAAAAGAGTCTAAATTTTGCTTAAAAATAAAAACTATGTAAATACATGTAAAGATTCCTATATAGCTGTGATGCTAATTAGTGCTAACCTCATGATATATTAAATGTATTTGTCTTTCCCAAATGTACAGGACTTCAAAGATGCAAAACTGAAAAAACATCTTACTATACTAATGACTTCCTGGCTAAAGTTATTTATGGTGGTCAACTTTTTCCGGCTCCAGCAGCTGGCTTTCTCTAACTTATTTTCCAGCTGCTTGTAATAAAATATGCATGCCAATCCAATATGAGACAGCCAGTCAGATGATGTGGATAGATTTTCATGCTTGTGTGATTGTTATATGCAGTGACTGTGTTATAATAGTTAAAGATACTTCTTAAACACTGTGCAGTCCCGACAATGTCACTCTAATAATTAGAGATTGGGCATTAATAACCTATACTCGCTCCAGGGATTTAGCTCAGTGGTTCTGCTGCCTGCCTCACAAGCTCAAGGTCCTGAGTTCAATCTCTGGTACCAAAAACAAAACAAAACAGAACAAAACAAAAAACAACAACAAACCTATACTCTATAAACAAGTATATTTTACTTAAATGATACTCTATTAAAAATAACAAATTTTGGGACCAGGGATTTAGCTCAGTGGTTCCAGAGCCTGCCTTGCAAGCGCAAGGTCCCGAGTTTGATCCCAGCACCAATAAAAAAAACAAAAAATGGCGGGGGTTTAGCTCCTTGGGGCCATACCTGCCTCATAAGCACAAGGTCATTAGTTCAATCCCCAATTGGGGGGGACTACAACAAATTTAGGTAAAAGTTTCTTTATGTCATTTAATATTTTATAATTAAAGATAACTGACTAAAAAGTTATTTCATACTAAAATTGAAATTTAAACATATTTCGGAGATAATAACAAAACCTAATTGTTCAGGGCTCAGGATTTAGCTCAGTGGTGCCACTGCCTGCCTTGCAACCAAAAGGTCCCAAGTTTGATCCCCATACCAAAAAAATCCCCCCAAAAACCTAATTGTTCAAATATAATAATGTCATCATAATTGTCATGCTAAAATGCAATGTTTCTCTTCATCTCAAATTTTTTCTCTAAAACTTTAAAATTGTTATCTGTTAGCAGTTACCGAAATTAGACTCCTAAGACAATCATGATGGGTAAAAAATAAGTTTTCTGGTCATACTTTGTATTTCAAGGTGCTTGATATCTAGTTATTTTTTATTTTAGGGTTTTTGTTTTTGGTTTTTTTTTTTTTTGGTATAGGGATTGAACTCAGGACCTTGTGCTTGCAAGGTAGGTGTGGTGCCATTGAACTAAATCCCCAGCAAGGTGCTTGATATCTAGATAAGATAGTTAAACCTACTGCTCCTGCTGCAATACTGGTATAACTAAACTCCTGGTGTTCAACAACTGAGGTTTGGAGACCGAAGCTAAAAGGATAACTGGGTTAAGAGGACAGTCAATATTTTGGCCCTGGCTCTCTAAGATCAATAAAGACCCTGGATATAAGGATAAATTTCTATGAGATCCTACAACTCTGGTGAGTTACCCAATCTCCTGAGCAGGGAGATTGTTGGGTTTCTAAAGAGAGGAATGTCTCCCGTGCCTCCATAGGAAGCCATATGACCAAGCAAGGCCATAACCCTTCCTGGCAGATGACACTGACAGAGGAGCTGTGAGGCTCTATACATGGTTCCAGAAGTAACACCTGAGGAGCCTTAACTGACCTTGATATGCATAGTGAGAGGTTAATTTTGATTAGCACAGGTCTCACTTTAACTTGGTCTTAAACAGCCAGCAGGAAAGTATAACCAAAAGATATATAAACCAATAATAATATAGGCCAGTAAGGAAAGGAGGCTCCAATAACTGCACTGGCCCCTGATGGCAGTCGCCAGCGACACCTTTAGTTGACCACTGTTATGATTTAATGAGGCTAGAAAGCCACAGTAACATCTATAAAAGCTCAACAACAGTCTTTAAATTCCTTAGCTAAACTAGAGCTCTCCATCTTCCTACAGCAAAAATTAGAGGGATTTGTGCACTAACAAAACTTTTTGTCTTTAGATAAATAATTCAGATCAGGTTTAAAAATTTTTAAAACAATAAAAGAAATATTAGACTTAGAGATGACCTCCATACAGACAGGTCTAGGACCCTGCTGGTTACAATCTCTGTTCCACTCCCTTAAAAATAGTATCTAAAGGGCTGGGGATTTAGCTCAGTGGTTCCGCCGCCTTCCTTGTAAGCGCAAGGACCAGAGTTCAAGTCCCAGTACCAAAAAAAAAAAGTATCTAAACTTGGCCCCTTCCTCCAATTTTCCTTTTCATTCTCGTTCTTGTTTGGACCTTGCATGTTTTTGACAAAAGTTACATTTAATTTACAATGCTTAATCTCTTGATAAAATTTGTTTCTTCTCACCTAGAGTGGAGACGGTCAAACTCCAAATGGTCACACAGATAGGGCCGACGATGATTGTGCCAAACTCCTTTTACTAGGATTCACTAGATTGACCTTTTAAAGAGTCTGAAACTGCTGAACCCCTAACATCTACCAAAGCCCCCTTAGATTAGCTGTCTGGAGAAAGTCCTGGACTGTTGTTTTCCCCACATCTTCTGTTCTCCCTTAGCAGCAGTTAAGGATGCTTCTTCAGAGAGAGGAAAATGTAAAGATAATTTATTTAATTAACATATGAGTGAGGCAGTTAGATAGGGGGAACAGCAGAGGTAGAATTGGGTGGTCTGCCATACCACCAAAGCATGGGAATTTAAATATAAATAGCAAACTAGGACTTTGGACAAGAAATGAACATTCCTCAGCCAACATGGAATGCTGCCCCTCCCTCCTAAAAAGGAGTGAATGCCCCCCCCCCCCGCCCCGCTCAAGTTCCTGAGTTCTGAGGAAATTATATTGCAAAATAACCAGTTCTTTCTAAGATCTCAGTACTGCAAACACTATGTAAAGGAACTGGGATAGTGAGCCTAAGTTCCAGTTGCTCATTTCTTTAGCTTCACAGGGCCACTTGTGACAGGTGACCACTAAACTGTTAAGTAATCCCTGTGCCCTACTTTACCTGTAAGTGATTTTAGATCAAGTGGCCATGCAGCTTCCTGGCTTGGGACCCCTCCTAAAAATCCAGGAGCTATTCTATTCTCCTTCTTGTTTCCCATCAAAACTCTCCTAACTTCCTCTTTTAGTTCTTCAGTATGTTCATTCTTCAGTGTGTATGGAACCACAAGCCAGGTATTCACAGTATCAGTAGCTGTGAGGGTTGTAGCCACAGTTATAAAGATTACAGATTCTGATATGAGGCAGCTCAAAATCCCTGCAGGAGGTAGTAAAGGAGTAATAGCGCTAACAGGAAAAAATTTATTTCCAGAACTAAGTTTCATGTTTTTCCCAAAGCACCCACCGGCCTGTGAATGTGTGTAGATACTTTCTTTCACTTTGGTAACCAAGGCTTGGAGAGGGGCAGGTGGCTGCAGCTGGGATCCTGGCCCTGTAAACTGTGACCTCTTCCTTAGATGGAGCAAAGTCCACCAGTGTGCCAAGAAAGGAAGAGCCAAGAAACCCCTGCAAGAGCCTCCTCAACAAGCCAGACCCGTCTGATCTCTACTACTTGAACGACACAGCCCAGTGCTTTGCTGAGTGCAGGCAGGAAGGGAGCAGTGACTCCTGTGCTCCAGGGAACCTGGAGAGGTGAGAGAAGTGGGAATCTGGGGCTTCCATGTGGGGAGAAGGGGGGTAGTGGGCAGGGACAAGGCCATCAGTCCCAAAGGCACCAGAAAACACTGCTCCCATCTTATTGCTTGACACCCAGTCCCCCACCCCTGACAACTAGGGGTCCCCACTGACTCAGGGGACACAACGACGAATCAGCATCTGTTCTTGTGAGTTGTGGAGGGACCGATGAGAACCCAAATAACCATGACTCCAGAGTGTGTTACCAGCCACTTAGGTTCACACACTCATGTTCGTTACCTCGCTGCCGACAAAATCAAAGGAGGCCATAGATTTTGGTGAAGAGGAAAAAGGATTTATTCAAAGCTAGCTCCAAGGAGATAGAGGGGCTCATTTGCCTCAAATCACCATTTCACTGTGCACAGGTGGGCAGGGGTCTCTTATAGTAAGGACCAGAGGGGAGGGGGTGCACAGAGAGACAGTGCAGACTTCACACTTGCTTTATGCATCCAGCCACCTTCAGCTCATTGTCCCCTTTCTCCCTCTCCCTCTCTCTCACATGCCTGAAATTGAACTCAGGACCTTGCACTTTTGAGGCAGGCACCAGCACCACTGAGCCAAATCCTTGGCCCTATTGTCCCATTTCTTATGGGAAGGAAATAGCTCCAGCCTTCTGGGCCAGCATCTGTCTATTTTGTCACTTCATCTGGGCTGGAGAACAGACAGGGTGTTGGTTATGCACTCGGCAGAAGGAAGCTTGGAGAAGTTGCTTATCTCTAATAGAAAAAAAATATAACTTTAAAGTTCCACTTTGAGATGCCAGTTACATGAACACACAAGGGCAAACAAGGTACCAGTTTACGCCAGAGGAGGGAAATCTAACAAAGCCTCACAGAGGAGGCAACCACGGAAGAAGGGCTTTGAAGAGTGCACAGCTTTCCAGTTGGCTCCAGACAATGGCAGATGATACAGCAGCAGGGCTGCAGAGGACTGCAATACTTTGAACCCTGAGAGTATAAAGTGCTGAGAGATGGAGGCCACAAGGGACAAGGTGGGACAGGTAGAGGACAGGATTAGAAATGCAAGCAGGGACTGAGGAGTGACAGTTGTATAAGCTAGACCAACCCCAGGAAGCAAGGAAATGACAGAGTCAAAGGTCAGAGAGAGTGTGGTCAACTCTGCATCTTAAAAAGATTGTTGCAGTTTAGAGAAGGACATAGAGGTGGAGATGCAGAAGGATCATGGGGTGTGACTGCAGAATGACACTGCCTCCTGCAATGAGAACTGTGCACCTGGATAGGAAAGGACTGGGGAGGTCAGATGATGTGGGGTCAACAGAACCGAGAGACAGGTTTAGATGGGGTGAGGGAGAAGATCTCCAGTGTACAACATCTCAGGAGTCAGCTCCAAAAGTATCTCTGCCCACTGTCCTCTCCCTTCTAATTACATTTGTCCATAACTCCTCCAAGTACCCACAAAAGCACCTAGCTTATGGCTGGTGCTCACTATTTGCTGAAAGAATGAATGAAAACCCTGTACGCACAGGCTTCATGTTAGGACAGCAATCTGACTGAATCACATTCTTCCAGTGGGCTGAAAATGGCCCCATCCTCACCTATAACTCCCAGCACCCAGAATCTATTCTGGGGGCCCCTTTCATGCTGCCTCATGATGGGGGTAGCATCTTGGAAAAAACAGAGGCATGGGCTGGGGATTTAGCTCAGTGGTTCTGCTGCCTGCCTCACAAGCGCAAGGTCCCAAGTTCAATCCCCAGTACCAAAAAAACAAAACAAAACAAAACAAAACAGGGGCATGGGGTGAGAAAATGTGGACTTTGTCCCCAACTCTACCACTTACAAACTGTGCCAAGCACCTTGAGCTATCTCCTTTAAATTGTAATGACCCTTTTGTCTACTATAGTCATAGCATTGTGCTGATTAGATCTGATGAGCAGAAAGCAGCAAGTACTTAAGGTGCCTTAGGAAGAAATATGTGAAATAAACCCCATAAGAATTCAGGGGCCCATCATCTCAGTGAATTTTCTGAACATTCAGAAGGCTGGAGAATGTGAAGAGATCTTTTCAAATTGAAAGATGAGTCTTTAGACCTCATACTGCTTATTATGAAAAAAAGGCACAATGTGGAAAAATACATACTATGCAAACACTAGCCCAAAGAAATCTGAGTAACTATATAAATCAGACAAGGAAAATGATACATAAGTGTCAGCTTTATAGTTAATAATTCAACTGTACATTTATGCTTTGAATTTGTTGAATATGGGTTATCTTTCACAACTTAAATAATTTTTAAAGTACCCTGATGTTGTGATTTAGATCTTTAAGATGAAGAATACCCTTCAAAAATTAAGAAGGAGGGCCAGGGATTTAGCTTAGTGGCACCAACCTGCCTTGCAAGCACAAGGTCCTGAGTTCGATCCCCGATACAAAAAAACAAAGAAAAAAATTAAGAAGGACACAAGGTATGGATAAATATCTTATCACTTAGGGATCCCAGGGAGCACAGGGCACACCTGGAGGCCACAGACATGGATAAGTTAGGGAGTGCAGGCAGGGAGAGAAAGGTCCATGGGCCAAAGCTTTTCTTGGGGCTCAGGGAATTATCCAAACTTTTTCCAAAGGGAGTTTTAATTGGCAGCATTAAGAGAGATAGGCCTGAGCTCCAGTGAGTCACACTGTGACTGAGAGGTGCCCCTGTGTCACATCTGCATGGCCATGCAAGGTTTGGGAGTCAGGAGAGCCAGTAAGTAGGTTGATCTTAGCTATCCCACAGGTAATGGCCACCAGGCACAGGGGTATAAGGCAGCTCTCTGGATTAAACACAAGAAGGAACTTGGAGGTAGTGTAGAAACTGGACACTATGTCAAAAGTGATCCCTGCTTCTGGTATAAGAAAGTCCAAATCAAAATAGATGCCAGTTCAACAGAAGAGCATAAGAATCAGCACACCTAGATATTTTAAAGCAAATAAAAACTAGGATCAATTGGTCTCTATTTCTGGCTGGATGGTTTTCTATGCCTTTTCCATTCAAGCATATTTGTATATATTTGTATGGCTTACTGTTTTGGTTATACAATATATTTTCTATAATCTTTTTAGAGTTTGTTTCCCACCTTGATTACTATTCACAAATGATGACAAAATAAAAGGCTCCCCCTTTGTCTCCATGGCTACTCCTTTCCCATAGTCATAGTCTAGCTGTCTCTCTCTTTGTTCCCTTCTCTCCCAGTACTACTTCAGCCCTCACTTTTCACAATTGCTAGGGAAGAATGGGCCAGAGTTCTTCAGCCCCTGGGCCTGGGAAAAGGAACCTGGTAGACAGTGAGGGTTCAGCACCACGGAGAGCGCACCCGGGTTTCCTCAGCCGGCAAGGGACCGTTGCTATCTTTCATGTTGTATGTGGTTCCAACACCTGCTGTGTTCCCATGCAATCAGTTCCCACACTGCTCAATTTCCAAAAGTTAGATTTCTAGTATTCAATAAATTCACTAATGTGTGTGGAGAGATTTTTTCCAAATAAGAGATGCAAGGTCAAAAAGCACATGAAAAGACGCTCAACATCACTGGTCATTAGGGAAATACAAATCAAAAGCACAATGAGATGCCTCTTCACACCCACTAAGATGGCTACAGTTAAGATAAAACAACAAGTGAAGAACTGTAAGTGTTTACAAGGATGTGGGGCAATCGGGACCCTCATATTTTGCTGGTGTGAGTGTGAAATGGTGTAGCTGTTGTGGAAAACACTTTGGCAGCTGCTTAAAATGTTAGAAAGAATTATCATGTGGTGCAGCAATTCTGTTCTCATGCATATACCCAAAGCACTTAAAGCAACTCTTCAAATAAAATCTCGTACATGAATTTTCACAGCAGCACTATTCCCTATAGCCAAAAAGTAGAAAAGACCCAAATGTCCATCAATAGATAAATGCATAACCAAGATGTGGTATATCCATACAGTGAAGTTGTATTCATCCATAAAAAGAAATAAAACAATGACATGTGCTTCAACATGGATGCACCCTGAAAACATTATGCTAAGTGAAACAAGCCAGACACCAAAGGCCACATATGACTCAATTTGTATGAAATATGCAGAGTAGACAAATTCGTAGAGATTTAAAGTAGATTTAATGTTTGTCCAAGGCTGGGAGAAGGGGGAAGGGGTGGCTGTTTAAAGGGTATGGGGTTTCCTTTAGGGGTAATGAAAATATTCTGAAACTAGTTAGTGGTGATGGTTGCACAGCATTGTTAATGCACTTATTCCCATGGAATTGAACTTTAAAATGGAAAATTCTGTTATATATATTTTATCACAAAAAGAAAAAATAGACACATAAGAGGCTCAGAGGGATCCATGGCCAATTCCCTCAGGGCCAACCTGGTTCCCAAACCACCTTTCTTGTTCCTCCAGTGAGTTCAAGTTTTTGATGTTCTGGGTCAGCCCTCTCCCTGCAGCAGCCTGGTGAGTGGGTACCTCAGCCTGCAAAATGCTACCTCCCTGATCCCTGGCCCCTTCCCTTGCAGACACTGGCTACATTATGAGTCCTACCTGGTGGAGAATTCACTGGAGACAGTGGACAGGCCTTTTGTGAAGTCTTTGGTCCAGAACATCAGCATCGACACCTCAGAAGACCTGCTCTTCTCTCTGAAGCCCTCTCAGGTGAAGGCTTCCTTCCCCATGCCCATTGGCTGGGTCAGATTCTGTGCTCATTTCACAGCTCTGAGAGCTACATCCTGTCCTGGTGCCCATCATGCTTAACCCTCCCAGGTCCCATCCAGTAGAGGTAACTGAACAAGCAGAGCCTTGGCATAGGTGATCCAGGTACTGGTACAGACAAGTGGGAGGTCCAGTGGATTGTGGTCAGGGCACCTAGGTGCTATCTAGTTTTGGCCTTTGCACCACTACACTAGGTATCCTCTGGAACACCCCTCTCTTTCTTTGTGCCCTGGAGTCCTTATCTGTAAACTCAGCACACAGGCTCCTCCAAGTCTAAAATACTCATGAGCTCTTCTGCCCGGGGAACATATTTGAAACCAAGGAAAGGGCAAACTTGGCAACTAAAGGGCTAAACAAGAGGACCCTGCATTTACATTGATACAGATTCAAATTCCAGCCCTTCCCCTTCTCAGCCATTGTGACTTGGGGTAAATTACTTTTTCTGAGCCCCAGCTTCCTCACCTGTAAAATGATGAAGGTATTGCCCACTTCTTAGGTGACAGGGAGGATCAAGTGAGATAGTGCACAGGAAATTTCTGGCACAGTGAGGGCTCATTGAATTTCCAGGCTCCCTGGGGAAATGAACCCAAGGGTGGAGATCCAGGCATCCAGGAAAGCTGGGTATTATCAAGGGCCTTGTAAGTATGTCTGGAGAAGGGGAACTGGAAGAGAGGCCCTTTCTCAACCCTTTATTATATCAGCCAGGCAGCTGAGCCTACTGCACGGGTGTGGACTGGCCCCAGAAATCACCCACATGTCCTTTTGACAAGGGCTGAACTGAGAAGGAGGAAGTAGAGCTCTTGAGCTCTGACTCTTAGCTCCCCTGTTCCAATGTGCACACAGGATTTCTCTGAGGCCATCATCAGGCAGGAGCAGGATGCAGCCCCAGGAGAACCAGGGAGATGAGAAGATGAACAAAACATGCTTTGTAATTACTGCTGAGGCTTATTTTAAGATGTTGACCAGTCTTAATTTTTAAAACATTTATTGTTGGATTTCACATTCCATGTGAATTCTTATGTTCCTGTCATTTCCCTTCCTGAATTTCTTCCTAATGACTTTGTTCTTTCCATTATTTCCAAGGCAGAAGCAAGATGCCGCCACCACCAAGCTCTATGCTAACACAGGGGCCTATTAGGACCTTAATCCAAAGCACAGCACAGTTGGCCCTCTTGCAAACTGAGCTTGCCTGGGTGTCATCTCTTCACAGTTCTTTTCAGCATGGGAGGTGGCCACCCAGGAACATGGTTAGCTCTGTTCTCCACATTGGAAAGGGTGGAGTCCATATGTGCTGTAATTCATCCCTGGGCCCAGAGCAGAGCCTGGACTGAGCCCTTTACCCCACCTCTCAGAGCTGACAGTCTCTAGGTGCTGCTCCTGTACCCAGCTGCCTCAGTTTCCTGTCTCAGCTGGGGCAGTGGCGGGACCTGTGTTGAGGTCTGGAATCCTTGGGTAAAGATGGGAACCCCTGGGTCTGTGGTTGCAGATTCCGAGGCAGGTGATGAAGGTCGAGGACAAGCCTTCTGACAGAGTCTGGCTTCCCAAGAGCTTCTTTGAATCCCTGCCGGGCGACAGGCCTATGGTGCGCTTGGCTATAACTGTTCTGGACATTGGTTCAGGGAACATCTTCAAGGTGAGGAGAGGCCTGCTCACTGAGGGAAGTCCTCACTGAGGACGGAGGGAAACTGTGAGATTCAAAGCTAGTTTCACCAGGGACTCCTACCCCAGCCAGCCCCTGCCAGAGACTCTGGATCAGTGAGGAGGGATGAGGTGGTACTGAGCCTTCAAGAGTGTCTCAAAGCAGCCCGGTCATCCCCGAGCTGGCTCTAGAGTCCATATCCTGAAGACTCATACTGGCACCTCATGCCAATGCCTCTCACCACTTGGCTTGCATGTAGGCACCAAGTCTGTTCACCTACCCTTGTGTGTTCTTGTGCATGCACAAACATGAGTGTCCCTTTCTACCTGTGCATACACAATTGTGTGTGCTCAGGTGTGAACATGTCCATGTTCATGTCCATGCACAGCCATGCAAATGGCACGCATCCCCTCATGTGCAGATACATGTACCCAGGATGTGCATGTGCTCATGCACCTGGAGGCCCCCTCTGCCTCCTGTCTCCAGGCTGATTTTAGCCCTGTGCCCTGAAGTTAAGAGGGCAGAGAAGCCCTGGAGGCCAGCAGTGCAGTGCCATCAGGAACATGGCTTTGCAACCGGTTGATGTGGAGCACAGGGCCTGACCCAGCCTGAGTGGGACACTACAGAGAGTAGCAGGGAGAAGGTTCCTATGCATCCTCATGGCTCTTTGACCCCCTAGCCTCAGACTTTACCTCCAGGCAAGGGTCACAGGTTCTGGAGGTTCCTAGACCCACCAGCCAAAATTTCCCATTTCCCCTTACAGGGCCCAAGCCTCCTCCAGGAGGAGGATGGCAGCGTGCTGAACAACCAGGTGGTTGGCTTGAGTGTGGGCCAAGTGCCTGTCACTGGGCTGTCGGATCCTCTGGAGATCACCTTCTCCCACCAGCATCACCCCTCTGTGAGTCTCCTATCCAGGCAAGGCAGACAGGCAGGCAGAGCTGACGCACATGGGAACTTGTGCCCTCTACCTTTCCATGTCCACCTGGGGGAAGGCACTGGGGCCATACACACAACTGTGCTCAGGGACAAAGCCCCCTTAGGTCACATGTGTGGCTGCACCCATACACACACCTGTGCTCACAGAAGTGTAGATGAGGACCCGGCAAACCCACCTGTGTGCACACTGCACCCCACACCCACCTGCGTAACACTCACAGACACGTAAACTGACCTGCAGTGCCCCCTCACAGCCATGTTAGCACCTCACCCAGGTACATCAATCGATGCAGCTGGTTCTCCTACACAGCCCACAGCAGTGTGGTTTATCCAAGGCTCACGCAGGCTAGGCTGCCCCTCCTCCACCTGCCCCTGCTGAGACTTCATTTTCTGGTTTCAGAACATGACCCTCACCTGTGTATTCTGGGATGTGACTAAAGGTAGGGCATGGAGGACCTCTCTGGGATAGACAGGAGGAGGGTGTGGGCTCCAGAGGACCCCTCTTCATCCTTCCTCTATGTTCCTGCCCCATCCAGGGCCCACAGGAGACTGGGCCTCCAGGGGCTGCTCCACCCAGCTGGGAGCTGAGCAGACTGTGTGCCGCTGCGACCACCTGACCTTCTTCGCCCTGCTGCTGGTAACAGCCCACTCCGATCCCAGCAGTCCTGCAGGCTTCCAGTCCCTGCCCCCCAGGAGGGTTCCCCAGGGCCTTTGGAGTGCGTGGGCCTGGCCCCAGCTGATGTGGTCCCGACTTGGGGCTCATCCACAGAGGCCGATCTTGGACAGGGCCTCCGTGGAGCTCCTTACACGCATCTCCCAGGCAGGCTGTGGAGTGTCCATGATCTTCCTCGTCTTCGCCATCATTCTCTACATGGCTCTCAGGTGAGTGACCCTGTCTCCACTCCACACCCTCTTCTGGCCCTTGTAGTGTTACCCTCTTCACTCCTTATCTCCTCTCTGACAGAGCTGGGTTAGAGGTTGAATGTGTCAGGGCTGTTTTGTTGCAAGTGGCAGAAGCACAACCCAGTCTGGCTTACCTCGGTAGGGCATATGTGGTTCACGCAATTGAAAAACCCAAGATGTATGGACTTCAGGCAGGGTTGGATCCAGGGCCTCAAAAGAAGTCCTTGGGTCCTGGTGTTCTCCTCTCCCAGCTTTGCCCTCCCCTCATCAATCATGTCCGTGGCTTCACACTTGGGCCCCTGGAAGATCCAGGCTCACTTCACAGCTCCTTAGATGCTCAGGAAGAAATATAACCCCAGGATTTAGATCTCTTTTATTTAAAAACTTGTTTTTAAATAATTATAAAGGAACTGAAAATTGCAAAAATTTTCATAGTCCTTTCTCCCAACTTCCCCCAGTGGTAACATCTTATATAACACAGTACAGTATCAAGACCAGGATGTTAATAGTGATGCAGTTCTGCCGACTAGACCTCTTTCCGTTTTCATCATTTTAGATATACATTCGTGTGTGTGTGTGTGTCCAGGAGTAGGGATATAATTTGTAGGACCCAGCCCAAAATAAAAATGCATGGCCCCTTGCACAAATATTATTCAGGTCCGAGGGCTGAGGATTTAGCTCAGTGGTTCCTCCCCCAGCCTCGCAAGCTCAAGGTCCTGAGTTCGATATCCGGTACCAAAAAAAAAAAAAAAGAAATGATTATTCAGGTCAGGCGCAGTGGTACAAGCTGTAATCCCAGTACTTGGGAGGCTAAGGCAGGAGGATTATAAATTTGAGCTCAACCTGGGCTACATAGTAAGTCCAAGGCCAACCTGGATTATGTAGTGAGAGCCTGTCTCAGAAGTCAACATGCTGGGTGTGGTAGTGCGCACCTGTAACCCCAGCTCTCTGGGAGGCTAAGGCATGGGAACGGCAAGTTTGAACCTAGCCTGGGCAACTTAGTGAGTTAGTGAGTTAATGAGACCCTGTCTCAAAATGAAAAATAAAATAGGCTGGGGATGTAGCTCAGCATGAAGGCCCCTGGGTTCAGTCTCCAGAACTACAAAACAATAACAACAACAGCGAAGTTATTCAGAATGTCAGGATGGTCATAGCAAAGTATTAACCAAGACTGGGGCCCTGGTGAGCCCAGGGCCCTGCAGAAGTCACACACCCATGACACTGGCTGGCTCTGTGTGTGTGTGTGTGTGTGTGTGTGTGTGTGTGTGCGTGCAGTTTATCCGTACACACAGCAGAGTGGAGTTTTACAACTCTGCCTGGGACCAGCCTGTGCCCACAGGCACTGCTGGACAGGCCTGGCCCACGCCTGCTCTCAGAGTGGAGCTGGCACAGAACTGACCACCACCACCCTGTGTGCTTCGTGGCTGAGCGTGGGGAAGGGTGTTCTTCAGGGTCACCTGGGGCCGTGTCGAGTGTGTGGAGCAGGTGCAGGACAAGCAGGAAGAGCAGAGAGCACTGTCCACTGGCTCCCCCAAGATTTGTCCCTTGCTGAGGAGCCCCAGGACCTGACAGCAGCACCCCAACCTAGCCTGCCTTGTCCCCCACTCCTGCAGCCCCAGCTCACCAAGCCCGGCCTGGAGCAGCACCCCATGGGTCCCCGTTTTCCAGTCTGGGCTCCCCTTCCCCCCTCACATGCCTCTATGCCTCTGTCATGGTGTGGCCCTGGGCTGTAGCCCCATGAGCCCGCCCACCCCACCACAGGCCAGCGCCCCTGAGTGAGTGGTGCTGCCCCACCCATCCCTCTCCGAATGCTGGCCTGCGACACTGTCCCCAGCCCCAACAAGCTGAGCACCACTTGACAGCTGGCTGCATTGCTGGACCCTGTGAGCTGGGCTTGGAGCGCAAGGCAGAAGTGTCACCAGCTCCCAAGGGTGGGGCCTGGCATCTCAGGTGAGGGCGACATTGTCCCTTATGCTCCTCCAAGTTGCCACAGGCTCCCATCCCTCGAATGAGAGTCCTGTGGGATCTGATTTGCAAGGAACTCAGAGTGGGGGCCCCATGGTGAGGGAGGTGAGCCCTGCTGGGAAGCACTGGGCAGAGAGGTGGCCCCAGGCTCTGTGACTCTCAAAGTCCCTGTCCCTCTCTGATTCTCTCTCCCTACTACATCCTAAGCCTCATCCACCCATCCTGTACCCACCCTGTCACCCAAACAATGAATCCAGGGCCCTCCTGCCCACTATGCTGGGGCCCTGGGTCCACAGAAAGATGATAGCAAGAGGAGGATATGGTTCCATTGCACTGCTGGGAATATCCAAATCAGCCTGGGCTCTGGAGCATTTGGGGCAGCTTCCCAAGAAGGAAATGTCCCAAGGGTTGTGAAGGCAGTGTAGGAGTTGGGCAGGCCAAGAAGGGGCAGAGCCAAGGAGTAGGAAAAGGTGTTGAGATCAGGGGGAAGAATGTGCCCCATCTGGGTGGCACGAGAAAGCAAAAGGCACTGAGGAAATGGCAGGCTGTGCAGTTTGGCTAATGCATGGAGTCAAGCGATGACACTTGGAGGACAGGAGCCGCAGGGACCTCAGGCCATGAGACAGCTCCTGGACTTGAACCTGAGGGCTCACACTTGGGCTCAGACAGTGAGGGTGCCAGGGTGGAACCAAGAAGGTGGCACAGACAGGACTGGGAACCTCCACTGAGCCTCGGCTCTTGGGGCCCCCCACTGACCCTTCTTGCCCCAGGCTCTCCCTGCAGAGGTTCAAGTCGGAAGATGCCCCCAAGATCCATGTGTCGCTGAGCAGTAGCCTGTTCCTCCTGAACCTCACCTTCCTGGTCAGTGTGGGGAGCGGCTCACAGGGGTCCAGTGCCACCTGCTGGGCCCGCGGTGCCGTGTTCCACTACTGCCTGCTCTGCACCTTCACCTGGATGAGCCTGGAAGCCTTTCACCTCTACCTGCTTTCCATCAGGGTCTTCAACACCTACTTCAGCCACTACTTCCTGAAGCTGAGCCTGGCGGGCTGGGGTGGGTGCTGCCTGGGTGGGCAGAGGTGCTGGCTGGCCTTGGGCAGCAGGAGGGGCCCTCTCAGATAAGCCCAGGGCTCGAGGGATGGGCAGCTGGAGGGGATTTGGAGGTAGATGTGCCCAGGACCCCCTGGCAATAGCCACTTGTTCTCCTCCTGCCCAGGCTTGCCTGCCCTAGTGGTCATTGGCACTGGGAGTGCCAACAGCTATGGCCTTTATGCCATCCGTGACCAGGAGAACCGCACATCACTGGAGCTGTAAGTGGTGGCCACGGGAGCAAGGTGACACCAGGCTCACATCCTGGGGCTGGAGGGAGGTGGGGGAAGAACATAAAAGCCAGAATCTTCAGATCTACCTAGCTTTGGGCACAGGGATGTAAGCTGAGACCTGAAGAGAGGAAGTGAAATGGGAGAAGGCCCAGGAAGAGGAAGCAAAATAAAAAAGGTGACTCCCCCCCATGCCTAGCACTCAACCTGGTGAGGGCAGGCTGGATTTCAGGTGCCCTTGGGTGGGTCACAACCTGCCCAATAATTCCAGCAGCCCAGTCTCTCCCCTGACTACTAGAGGTGTGTCTTGGGAGAGCCTGGCCTCTCCTGGGGTCCCAGTCTCCTCATCTGTACAATGGGGGAGACGATGGGCAGGCCCTTCAGCCCTTTTGCCCTGCAATACAGGGAGCAGTGAAACTGGGCTGAGCCCCCAGACTCCCACCCAATGATTTTCTAGGGTGCTCATCATTGAGCCCATGGCTTCATCCTATGAGGGGCTACTGGAGCCTTGCCCTTGTCCCCAAGGCCCCAAATGCAGGATCCACGGAGGCCAAATAGGTTATCTAAGTACATGTGGTGGCCAGGAGAGGACTGCAGTGGACTGGAAGTCACCTGTCCATCTAAAGAACTGCTGGTCACCATTAAGAGAGGGTGTTTTATGCCAAGCCTTCTGTTTTCAAGTGTGGCTACTAATTCAGGATTTTTACAATATGATATGGGGCAAATGAAGCATGCCCCTGGAGTTGATTCAGCCCTTTTACACCTGTTGTCTACAGACACCAGGCTGGCCTCTTGCCCAGAGGGAGACCAGGGGCAGATGGATAGAAATGGTGAGAAAGCAACTTCTTGGTCCCAAAAGGTCGGCCAGGGGAGGCTTCTGGGGCTTGCTGTTTAGCGGTGTCCTCTCCCAGTCCCTGTGATCATCTACCTCCTCCAGGTGTTGGTTCCAGAAAGAATCTGCCCTCTATGCCACTGTCCACGGCTACTTCTTCATCACCTTCCTCTTTGGTGCTGTGGTGCTGACCCTGGTGGCCTGGAAGATCTTCACTCTGACCAGTGCCACAGCAGGCAAGGAGCGAGGACAGAACTGGAAGGCCGTCCTCACCGTGCTGGGCCTCTCAAGCCTGGTGGGCATGACCTGGGGGCTGGCCATCCTCACACCACTAGGTCTGTCCACCATCTATATCTTTGCCTTCTTCAACTCCCTGCAAGGTGAGGCTCTGGGGCCAGGGAGGCATGGGCTGCCTGTCTGCCTCAGGGGCTGCTTGGAGGTGGAGAAGAGGGTGTTTGGGACAAAGAGGACTCCACAGAGGCTAGCGCAAATCAGGGGTACTGACTTTACGTATTTGGGGCTCTCTTAGGGTCTAGGGCAGCAAGCTGATTCATAGGGGCCAGTACCAGAATAAGGAAAAGCCACACAAACCAAAGCATATTCTTCTCCCCTCTTTTGTTTTGAAGCTATGTGTTATCTCTAGTTGGGTGTCTGTGGAAACTCCTTCATTTTCTTACTCTTCCCCATTGCTACCATGACCCCAAGTGGCTGCCCAACATGGCTGCCTGTATAAAACCTTGCAAGTCAGCTGGCCATCTCTAGTCCAATCAGATGTGACTAGAATGGCAAGGTCATGTGATTTGATGTCCACATGACAAGGATAGGGTCTCTAAGTAGCTGTTGAGGGAAGAAGGGGATGATTGTTATGTCTGTTACTTGGCCCAGCTCCTCCTTCCTCTGACATCCCAGGAAAGGAGGAGGAGCCCAGAGAGTAGGTCACAATTTCCTTCCCACACCTATAGTCTTTGCTCCTTCATCCCTTATTCACATACACACAGCTCTAAAAGATATCCTGCCTGACTGTGAGGGTATCAGGCAAGAAGACGGTGATAAGATTCATCCTGTCTGGGCCAATCATTGAGAACTTAGCTATCCTAGATGCAGTGGATACAAACTCACAAGACCAGGGGTGGCTCCCAGTGCCTCCATGACACTGTGTGCATCGTGGTTGGGGCCAGGCAGATGTGGATTCAATTCCCAGCTCCATCCACCAGCAAGTTATTCAACAGTTCTGATCCTCATTCATCTCTCTTTTTTTTCCCCATGGTGCTGGGGATCAAACCTAAGGCCTGAGCATGTAGGGCAAGCACTCTCCCAACTGAGCCAGATACCCAGGCCCTCTTCATCTCTAAAGTCAGGACAATCTCAATTCCTATCTCTCCATATTTCATAACAAATAACTAATCAAGCAAATGTAGGACCCAGTAGATCTTTGGTATGTAGGAACTATATTAATAGCAATAGAGATGATTATTTTGGGGACATCTGAGGCTATTCCCAGCTGAAGAATGCTGAATCCATGTCTAGAAAGTCTCACTGGTTAAAGGTTGGGGAGAGATATATCTTGAAATTTTGGATTATGTCATTATTCTTTCAGAAGTTACTTTAATATTTCAGCCTGCATGCCTCACTCTGTTTAGTTAAACTTCTACTGAGTCCAGAGTATTTGGAATTTCTAGTTTCTTCCCAACAGAGCCCTGGGTACATTTTAACTGCCCATGGGACACTTCTCAATATTGTTATTGTTCTATAGCATTTTAGTTATGAGTTTCCTTTAAATGCCCACATATTCTTTCTCAGTCAATGTCTGTACTTTCTCTAATTTCCTATATCCCACACATTCCCTCTTGCTGAAATGCATCCTGTAGTAATTTTTTACAGAGGAACAGTGGCAAAGCCAACTGTGGTAATGGTGGTGGTTTTGTATGTCTGAAAATTCCTTTATTTTGCTCTTTCTTTTCTGTGATAGATGTATGAGGTGAGATTGAAAAATATGGTGAGTGTTTTAAACAGAAAAAAATTACAGCAAAAAATTGTCATTAATAATCCTCAAAATACTTCCCCCTTGCTTTGAACACACTTATCCCATCATTCTTGCCACTTTCTGTCTTTACTTGTGCTGTTATGGCTGCCTTGATGTCCTGATTCAGTTAAAAATGTTTGCTTTTCATGGTCATTTTGACTTTGGAGAAGACCCAGATGTCACATAGTGCCAGATCCAGTGAATCAGGTGGAGGAGGATACACAATAATTTTTTTTCCAGTACCAGGGATCAAACTCAGGACCTTGCACTTGCGAGGCAGGCATGGCACTACTGAGCTAAATCCCCAGCCCATACACTGTAATGTTTTTACAAACCTGCCTTTCCATAGGATGGCGCTCAGCAGCAGCTTTCATCATATTTTTTATCACACTTTGTAAATACACCCACAAAAGACATCCAGCACTGCTTTAAAGTGGCAAGAATGATGAGATAAGTGTATTCAGAGACAGGAGTATTTTGAGGGGGATTCATGGCAATGTGTCTTTTACTATAATGCATTTTAAAAAAAATTTTAATATTCACCTGTTTTTTTTGGTACTGGGGATCAAACTCGGGTCCTTGCACTTGCAGGGCAGGTGGCTCACCTTATTTTTTGATCAGCCCTTGTATGTACATATTTTATTTCAAGGTTTCTGCTTTTCATTTCCAAAATTTTTTGTGGGTTTCTCTTTTTATAGGAGTAGGTTTTATTTTTGCCTGCTTTTTTTCCTAAATCCTTGAACATTTACAATGGAGCCTTTCTGCCCTCAGCAGCCACCGACCAGGCTGCCTAGCACAGGCTCACTGAGTTCCTCTCTCCACCGCAGGCGTCTTCATCTTCTGCTGGTTCACCATCCTCTACTTTCCGAGTTGGAGCTCCACATCCTCCTCTTCCGGCACCACTGCCCACCTGGACCAGGCCCGCTCCGTGTCACATGAGTAGGAGGTGCAGCCCTGCTCTCATCACCTCTGGCTCACTGTGTGGCCTCAGTGGCTCCCTGCCTTGTTCTAGGCCTCAGCTGCCTTCTCTGTACCTTGTGGCTGCAGAGGGAAGCAATGGGGACCAGGTTGGACCATGTGGCCTCAAATGTCCCAGCTAGATACATCTGTGGGCCCGAGAGTCTACAACTTCAGGTTTGCAGGAGGCTGAAGTTCCTGTGGCTCCAAGACCCCCACCAACAAAGCATCACCATCCTCCTGCCCTACCTGCATAGCAAAGCTCTCTGGCTCTCTGCCATTGCCCACCTTCTGGTCTCAGCAGGGGCCTGATCCCAAAGAGGGAGTCTGGTTGGCATAGCCCCTTGAAGGAGCCCCCAGCCTCTCTCCCTGCTCTCCCTGTTACAACTCTGCATCCTGGCTGTCCGTCCCCCTGAAGGCTATTCAAGAGGTTCCTGGGGAACCGGGAATTGTAAACTAGAAGTTAGTTTGGGGGTGGGTTGATCCTAGTCTCTGCCTACCCACCAGCATCATCCTCATGGAAGAAACGCTACCGTTCAGGGGGCAGCCGACCTCCAGGGGGCTGGGAACAATGGTTTTCAGAGATTGTCACCTAGTGTGTGGCTCCCTGAGGTGTGTGTGTCACCTGACTGCCAGGTGGGTGGCTGGACCTCTGATCTGCTGTCATTATGGGAGGCAGAAGCAATGGGCCCAGGCCTTGCACACTGATCCATTCAGTGTGTGGGGTTGAGGGTCAGTGGGGGAGAGGCTTGCTGGGCAGAGGGTAGACCTTCCCTTCCCAAGCAGGGACCTGAGCAGCCTCACTTACCACTCCAGCCCAGCCCAAGCCCAGGGCTGGCCCATGTCAAGCCAAATTGGTGCAATTATTCAATAAATACTCATATTTGCTGGCTGAGTAGATGGATGTATTGGCAGGCCACACCCAGCTGGGGGGTGTCACTTCCAGCAGTTGGGCCTCCTTTCCTAACTGCAGACTGATTTCCCAGGAGGAAGCAAAAAGCAGCAGAAATAGCAGAGATAGAAAAGAGACACAGAGAGGGAGACAGAGAGACTTGACGGACATGGAGAGTGACTGCTGTGACCAGGCCAGCCTCTGTCCACTCCCCACGAGCTCTTGTTCCCACTCTGGCCTTAGCCTGCCCCCTACCTCCCCACCGACCACCCACCCTCTCTGGTGTCACCTTGGACTGCACAGGAGGGGAGTTACTGTCTTTCTCAGATGCTCCCCACAGCCACCCACGCTGTGGGCTGCTCTCTGGGAGTAGGGGTGCAGTGGGGGTGCAGAGGCACCTCCCTTCTTTCTCCTTTCACCCAGCAAACAGGGCACTGGAGCGATGAGACAGGAAGGGAGTGTGCTTTGCACAAGCCGCTGCATTCCTGGAAGGGAAATCCTGGGGTGTGGACACTGTGTCCATTGGGCACAAGTGTTTTTGGGACAAATATGGTGCCTTTGGGGACTTATCTTTGCAGACATCTGTTTCTCATGCTGAAGGTCTTGGCTTCCTTACCCCAAAGTCTCTGACTCAATGACCTGAGTAATCCAAGCAATAGCTGTCCTCATTGGTGGGACAGTCCTGGGTTTAGATCATGGCTCTTCTACTCAGGAGCTGCATGACCCTGGGCCTGTCCCCTCTCCAAGGCTCATTTTCCCCCTCCATTTTTTTCTTTTTTTTGGTACCAGGGATCGAACTCTGGTCCTTGTGGTTGTGAGGCAGACGGTAGAACCACTGAGCTAAATCCCCGGCCCCTTCCCCCTCCATTAAAATGGGGATAATAGGGCCAGGGATTTAGTGCAGTGGTTCCACTGCCTGCCCCGGAAGCGCAAGGACCCGAGTTTGATCCCCAGTGCAAAAACAAAACAAAAAAATGGGGATAATAAAGTCCTTGCTTCATCCTAAGAGCATCAAGTGATGGGATAAAAACAAAGAACCCAGCACTCACTCAGCAGGAACTGGCTGGCTCTCCCTGTCCCCTTTTCTCAGAGAAGGCACTGTGGAAATGGAGGCCCAGCACCCTGCCCAACCAAAGTCCCTTCTGAGGCTGGGCTGAAGCTGGGGCCAGGCTCCTCTCCATAGCTGGCTCTTCTCCCCAGACTATCCCCTGGCCTCCACCCTGAACCTCAGGAGAGGCCTGGGCTGCAGCATTGCTAGACATGCTGGGTAGGGTGCAGGACTGACACACGCTCCAGTCAGCTGGGTTTCCTGGCACAGACTGGGAGGTGGCCAACAATTTTCCAGCTGGCTGTCCAACCCAGGGCGAGGCAGGGGACAAGTGGCCTGGGTCAATGCACAAGTGTCTGAGAGGGCTTAAGGCTCCAAGGCCAGGGCTGATGGACACAGTTCCCATCATCTCCAGGCAGCATTAGTGACCAAGGAGGGGGACACTGTCTCGGTTGGGAACAGCCCTGCTCGACACAGCTCCTAATTGGCTGGGCCTCACATCCTGGCCTGCTCTGCTGGGTGCACAAAGGGAAAATCATGAGACACTGGCTCTGGACTGCCCAGTACCTATCCCCCAGCCCAGCATGAACGTGACCGAGCCAGAGATTTGCCTGGTCCTCACCTGGGAGTGGCTGTCAGTGAGCAGCAGAAAGGCTCCTCTTCGCCAGGGTCTCTGCCTCCTCTCTTTCTGCCATGTCTTCCTCCCCAGTATTTTTATTACAACATCTCAAACGTGCAGGAACTAAGAAGATGTGTTTGCTCTATGCTCTCAGATGACTTAATATTAAGAGATCTAAAATCTTTCATCAATTAATCTATGAATTCAATGCAATCCCAATAATGATTCCAGTTGATTTCATCTTTTAGACTCTCCAAAAATGTACTCTAAAATGTATACGGAGGCATGGAAGCTTTAAATTACTGTCAGTCTTAATGAAAGAGGGCACAGGAGGAAGACTTGACCTCCAGATATGAAAAGATATTTACAAGGTCAGAGTGCTAAACCCTACATGGAGACTTCAGGGACAGGAAGGAAAAGAATGGAACAGAACAGCACACTCAGCCGCAGACTCACATACAAATAATGACAAAGCGGGCAGTGGCAACAAGGATGGGCTGTCTGCTGATGGCACTGGACAATGGCTCACATGAAATAAGATCTGTACTAGCGCAAACACACAGGTGGGCTCCAGGCACATTACAGGCCCAAGAGGGAAGGCAAAACTATAAAGATCAATCTAAGATAGTATTTTGTGATCTAGGGACAAGGAACGACCTCTCAAACAAAAATTCATGAAGTACCTGTAATCTCAGCACTCTGGAAGGCTGAGGCAGAAGGATCACAAGTTTGAGGCCAGCCTGGGCAACTGGGCAAGACCGTCTCAAAATTTTAAAAGGCCTGGGATGTAGCTCAGCGTGAAGGCACATGTTCAACCCCCAGTACCATAAAGAAAGAACCCAAAAATATCAGACCCCAAACTGATACATTTAATTCCATCAGAATTGAAGCTTTCTATTTAATGGAGCAATTGCAGCTGATGTTAACAGACAGGTGCCAGGAAAGGTGTCTGCAACGTCTAAAACCAACACCCATCTAGCAGTCTTATGGCTCAAACCAAGGACTATAGCCCAGTAGAGAAAAACGGGCTGAGGTGTTCAATAGTTTCATAGGAGGAAACAAGTTAGCATAGGAAGCCACACTTAAAATCATTGGCATTAGCTGCACACTGAATTGCTGGGATGGCCTTGTGTCCCTATTAAGCTGGCCACTGTGGGAAAGCTAGATATTGCCAAAGGCAGGGACAAGGGTACGGGGATCCGTCACACATGGCGGCAGGCAGAGAAGGATGGCCACTGTAGAGGTGGCCATCCTGCTCCTGGACACTGATCCCAAAGACATGTTCTTCAGAGCTTGAAGGGATGAGACCGATGATGACATTTGCTACATTCTTTGTCTGTGGCAGGTGAAAGTTGGTGGGAAGTCAATTGGTGTTCCATGGGGCTGGAGTTGTCCCAAAACAGTGGCAGAATTCCCTTAAGAGATTGTCCCAAACCATGCAAATAGGGCTGGTTGGGATTCCAAAGAGAAGCACTGAGCACTCTAGGGTGATGGGGTGTTGGTTCCAAAGTTTGTATGAAGTTCAAAG